TACTGGTATTAAATTTCGATAACTTAGAACATTAATGGTTATAATGTAATTTATGTATAGCTAATAAAAATTAAACATAATTCTTTAGTCTAAGGTGGTATACAGGGTGATTTTTTTATCGTGAACCAGTTAATATCTCGGGAAGTATTAGTAATTTTAAAATAATTTTTTTTTTAAACTTTCTAGGTTTTACTATTTTACACTGTGTTACAATTTTGAAAATTTTAACTTCCTCCCTTATTTGATAAAACACTATCAACTTTCGATTTTCAAATGGCAATACCTATTTTCGATAACGAAAATCTATAAACATACTGAAAAAAAAAATTTTAACGTTTACAGAATTTAATTTGAGTAAGCCGTTTACGACTTATTAATGCTGAAATATTCGTTAAATTTACTGCTACTGGGCAATTTAACAACCCAATTGTAAAAACCAGAAGTCAAAACGAAATTTTATCTCAATTTAACAATACCCATAACGGTAATAATCAACAACAACAAGATAGATAAACAATACTATAAGAAAAAAAAAAGTGTTCCATCATCACTCCCACCAGAATACCGAGTGTCAGTGAACGAGTGAACGACTATTATAGCCATAAGCCATCCGCGGCCTGCAGCAGCTAGGCTTTATCAGCTATAAAGTATAAAAACCATAGATATAAAATACTAGATAGCTAACATGGCATCGAACATTGAAGTTATCCGCCATATGCGTGTAGGTCAATGTTTACATAATTGTCTTATCAATACGACATGATAACAATCTGATGGTCAAAATACTTTAATATCTGACGATGAAAAAATTGAATAAGGATAATATTATGTGTTTTCATTAAAAACAATTGCAATAGAAGTATATATTTTTTATATTTTTTTAATATTTTATAAAAAAAATTTATTCTGTGCGAATAATATCATGTTATCATACAGTATTGATAAGATAGTTATGTAAACATTGACCCACACGCATATGGTGGCTGACTTCAACATCGATTACCCTAATTTAGACAAGTTAGCTATCTAGTATTTTATATCTGTGATAAAAACATTTTAAATTTATCATAATGGTTACATAATATAGCACTGGTTACTGATCCCTGGTATACGGTCTTATCACGTATTTGTAGATAAACGATAATAAATGCTGGTAAACTGTTTCTGAAAACATGTGGTTATTGAGTTTCCCATTATCAAATATTAAATATTAATTTTTAATTAATTATTATTCTTTGAACCTAACCACAGAATACGCTTTAAGTAAATTCTTAATTATGTGTATTATTTAAAATATAAATTTAAAGTTTAGGTAAGCCAATTATTCCAATGCATACCTATTATATTTTTTGATAGTGTTTTAATGTTGTATTTTGGTTAACAAATTTGTATTTAATTAAAAATATACTTCTATCCAATCAGAAATATTATTATGTATATGGGAATCAGATTTCATACTTAGCCGACAACTTTATTTGTATAATTTATTGGTAAGTTCAATCTAAAATTAATATATTAGAATTTTATTTTTTTATTAAATGATTTATACATACATATTATTGACAAATAATAACCAGGGTTAAAATATTTTAATTTTATTTCAGTGGCAATTAGTAGAGTTTACATAATTCATCAAAAAATACAGTGAACTATATGACTAGACAACTAAATTTGCTCAGAAATTAATGCAAATTCATATTGCTTTCTACTGGTACCTATCTGATGACTATAAATTAATATGGAATAAAGGAATACAATATACATACATATTTCTATATTATATTATAATCTTTCAACAAACTAAACAATCAATTATGTAAGTATGAATTGTTTTTTAATAAATAATAACCAGGGTTAAAATATTTTAATTTTATTTCAGTGGTAATTAGTAGAGTTTATATAATTAATCAAAAAATACAGTGAACTATATGACTAGACAGGTCAATTTGACCAGCAATTAATGCAAATTTACATTGCTTGCTACTGGTACCTATCTGATGACTATAAATTAATATGGAACAAAAGAATAAAATATCCATATTTTTTTTACATATTATACTTATTTTAATCTTTATACAAACTAAGCAATTTATTATGTAAGTATGAATTTTTATATAAAATAAATAATTTGATGTTTATCATAATTTTTGCTTATTTTTTAGATAATTAATTTTGTTTTCTTTCAAATTTCAATTGCAATTAGTAGTACTAACTTTTAATTCAAATATCTATAACAAGATTGGATGAACAAATACAAAATGTTATTTTGGTTAGTTACAGCATAATACAACTCACCTGATAACTTAATAAGTATGAATAAATAATTATTTTTTTCTATAGAATAAATCATTTCTATAAATAATTTAATGTTTTTTTTTAGTTGCATTCAGATAAAAAAAAACAGTGCAGAATCAAAACCAATAACTACTTCTACATTTATAAAATGTATTGATGGTCACATTAACAGTTAATTGTATGTTTAAATAATTAGGTTAAGTTATTGATTTACTAATTTCCATAATTAGGGCTATGGAGTTTTTATTAAACTGAATTGGTAAATTGGAAATTTTTTTTTATATGATACCTAGTGTCATTTTTATGCAATATTAAAAGATTTTTATATCATAAAATTGTAATTAAAAAATAACATAATTTCAAAAATAAGTGGAAAAGTGAATAATTTTTTAAGACATCCATAGCCCTAAAAATATGCTGTAATCTAGAGTAGATAATATAAGATAATATAAAGTATGTTCAATGTTCATTTAATTTTTATTAATTTATCTAGGGTAGTGGACATGTTAAGTGTTAATATTTTTTATTAGTTATGACCTTACCCAAATCCTGCAAAAATTTGCACTACGGAAATTTGTTTATACTCTAGTAAAATTATTGATAACTAATGTGTTTATTGCCATTGATAATTTAGTATTGAATTAATGTCCATTATTTGGTCTATTCACACACAAGATAGTTTGATATAAAATGCAAATTATACATTATACAAAAATCCCAGAATACCTAATATTTATAAATGGAGAGTCAGGTAGGCACTATGAACAACGGGTTCTCGGCCTATAGCCCCACATCAGATTGACAATACAGGACTCAATTCCTTGATGCACAAAACATTGTAATATCAGTTTAATGTTGGTTATTTGTTGTGTCACTTTATTTGTAATCAAAATAACTTACATATTCTATTTTTTTTTTTTTAGTATACTTGGATTGATTTGTAATTATTTATTTTTAATGAAATGAAAACCTTAAATGATAGGGGCGTTGTAAAAATGTATAACTAAAAAAAAAAGGAATGTGTGAATAGACCTTTAACTACTTTAGTCTGGCTCTAAATTCTGAATCCAAGTACATAAATTATACATTTGTATCTGTGTATTTATGAATTATTTTTCTAAATACATGGAAATTGTTGATTTACTTTGTTTTAAAATGAATAAATGTTATCTGTTTAATATAATCATTTACTATAGTAAATTAAGATACACCATATTATTGTTTTAAAAAAATATTTATTTTGTAATTTACTAGTTATAACACATCAATCTGATATAAAAATATAAATTATATTAAATAAATACTTCTGTATTATGTATAATTAACAAATAATAAACTTAAATAAATTATACTACATATTATCATAATATCATCTATTTATAATTTATTCCATATTTTGATAATGGGAAACTAACATTAACGATTAACCAATAACCACAATATGTTTTCAGAAACAGTTTACCGGCATTTATTATCGTTTATACGTGATAAGACCGTATACAAGGGATCATTAACTAGCAGAGGCGTGCTGAATAGTAATTTTTTGAGGAAATTGCTTCAGGGAAAATTCGGGTAGGTGGGTGGGTGTGTTTGTATAGATGTGCAGCTTATACCTAAAAAAACTTAATAATATTTATTATTTTGAATAATAAAAAAAAAATAGTGAAAAAACTGTTGGTGGTGGGGAGGGGGATCAAATTGTTTGCCTCAGGTCTGCTTGTCAGTTCGGCACGCCACTGGTAACCAGTACTATATTATGTAACCAATAACCATGATGGTAAATTTATAAAATACGGTTTGAGCATGACAAAATAGATAGGTATGTCGGCAACTTTTTGATACGCATCGGGTTCGTCGACCACTCCACACCCCTTTGATAAGCTGGTTTGCCAAATGAAATGAGACAAACTACGACTATGGCTGAGAAGGGTGGGATGCGCTAACCGGACTGCGTCTCGTATTGTTGCTGACATAGGTACCTATCTATTTATTTTGTCATGTTATTCCATAGATAATAAAGATATTATCAATGTGTTATTCAGTATTCACCACGATTTAAGGTATATCTTAAATCGTGGTATTCACTATTTCACTGGACAATCGGATGTGTTCGGCTGGGAGGGGTGATAAGATATTAAGGTCCAATTCGTGTGACCTTTGTACTATTGTACTTATTTGTTATTATCGTTTATAACCGATTATTATCAATTATTATGGGTATTGTTAAATTGAGATAAAATTTCGTTTTGACTTCTGGTTTTTACAGTTGGGTTGTTAAATTGCCCAGAAGCAGTAAATTTAACGAATATTTCAGCATTAATAAGTCGTAACCGGCTTACTCAAATTAAATTCTGTAAACGTTAAAATTTTTTTTTTCAGTATGTTTATAGATTTTCGTTATCGAAAATAGGTATTGCCATTTGAAAATCGAAAGTTGATAGAGTTTTATCAAATAAGGGAGGAAGTTAAAATTTTCAAAATTGTAACACAGTGTAAAATAGTAAAACCTAGAAAGTTTAAAAAAAAAATTATTTTAAAATTACTAATACTTCCTGAGATATTAACTGGTTCACGATAAAAAAATCACCCTGTATACTTGGTAAATTAAACATTCCGATGTTATATTTACCAATAACACCAATGTAGAAGAAAGTTTAGAATCTAATTTACTAGAATTAGATGATTGCCAAACCCTCACACAGGAGATGATACAAAGTTCTATATTGAATGAAGACACACAAGATACAGCTAAAATTCAATACAGCAAAGGTGTATTAGATATGGTAGTTCCACAACCGCTTCATGATCTTCTACAACAGTTTGAGGTAAATATAAATAAAAACATATTAAACGTTGTAATGCATATTTTAAAAAGTAAGAATTTTAAAAATACCTACTGATTATTATTTCAGATGGAAGTTGAAGAGCCATTTGACCAGATAGAAGCAGAGATCGCACAGTATGTTGTAGCTGGATATGTTGCAAGTCGATTTTCTACCAGGTATCCCGAATTAGTTGGGAGTCCTAAGTCACCGAAAAATCCAAATTGGATAGACTTTGTTAGTAAAGGCAATCTTAAGACTCCATCCGATAATCTTTTCCAAGCAGTACAAATAATGGAAAAATATTTCAAAAACTTGCATGGAGACGGTCTGTCAAATGAAAAACAAATATTTAAAAATCTTACCAATACACTGACACCACACATTGAACATCTTAATATCCCAACAGAGGTTGTTCAGTGTTTAGTCCGAACTCGTACATACTTTCGCCTCAACAATTTAAATAGACAAATCATAGACCAACAATTTCAAACAAGAGATAGAAAAAAAATTAAAAAATTAATAAAATGATACAATTTGTATGTATACCTATATTATTTACAAATAAAAATTACAAATATAAGAACGAATAATAATATATTAATATGAATGTATTACCTACTATCATTTCACCATTCCATGTGACCAGTAACTTAACTACCTGTCTATTTAGTTTTATTTTTACAAAACAAATATATTAAATTAAATAAAAATTCCCATATTTCAAAAAATCAGAAATAATTTTTCAGGGCTCAGAACGACGTCGAACGTATTTACAATAAATTCAAGATTATTAGAAACTAACTAACTAACCTTGTTTAAAAATTACATGATATTATGATAAGAGAAAAATTGATAATAGGCGCTAGCCGACCGCCATGTTATGCGTATCAAATATATTGCTGACATACCTTTTTTTTTGTCATGGTCAAAATCTATAATGATAAAGCTTCTGGTTCCAAATAAACCGTTATCACGGTTCATTCCATATGAATTGCCCGTTCATTTTTTTTGATTCATTTGGTTTTTTAATCCTTTTAAATTGTTTTTTTATTTTTTAAACTGATCTTAAAGTTTTGTATGCATAAGAAACTCGAAATCTTTTAATTATGGTTAACTGCTGGGCACCCCAGTGTTCACACAATTCTGTCAGAGAATCGTGTTCTTTTTTTCGTTTTCCAACAGATGTGACACTACGAAATTCTTGGGAGATTGCCTAGATAATATTTTTACCTTCTGACGAGTACATCCACTTGCTTGACGCAATCGCTACTGAAGGAGACGCGGCCAACATTGGTCTCTTGACCATTCTCTCAGCTACTCGTGTTGGATGCCCACGCATGATGCATTCAATCGTGAATTGCTATAGGAGCAGGACTATGACCGAGAGGAGCTGGCTGAATGAGTCGAACAAATGTGCTGAAAAAAAGAGCCAAACACCATCTTCCACTTTTGTTGAACATAATCATTAATCACAAATCAGTGGAAGCTGGTGTTTGGCTCTTTTCATCATAGTTAAAACATACTGCAAAAAGTAAAATTTGGTGCTTCTAACTCAGTACCAAGGACTGTATGAACAGGATAAGCTTCATCTAAATATTTTCTACCTACCAACATAATATATTTTTAAAAAATAAGAAAATTAAATATAAAAATATTATATAGTTACAATTGTTATTTTACTTCAAGGCGAACATTTTTAATTTGTGAGGGGCATTTAACGGTAAAGTGCTTTTTAGCCTTGAAGTTAAATAACAATTGTAACTATAAAGGGATATTATTTTTTAAGGACAACGAAGTGCACCGAGTTAGCTAGTAATAATAATATAGTTGTTAATAATTCAAATTAATTAATAATTTAGAACCAAAACAGTAAGATGTAATATAGAAGAACAATGTGATAATACTGCTGCAAGTGATCCAATTATTAATGAAGAAACTGGTAATACTGAAAGTGCTGATTTCATTTGGGAAAAAAATACAATTGTGGAGAAAAATGTTGAATGTTACTTTTTGAAAAAGGAAAACGAAGACTTGAAAAAAGAAATTGAGGTCTTAAAAAGACATCCATTTGGTCATCATTCAATTTCAAAAAATGATATTATGTTTCAATATTACACTGGATTAAGTGAAGATATGTTTGAAATAATCCACACACTGTGTTCAAATGTTACATTTAATTATTACTTAGGTTGGAACATCACTTGATTTTCATTAAAAGATCAAATACTTATGACTCTAATGAAATTAAAATTAAACTTAGGTCATGAAGACATTGCTTTTAGATTTAATACCAGTTCATCAACTTTATCTAATGTCACTTTAACTTTTATAATTTTATTACATGATATATTCAAGTCACTCATGGACAATGTTCCATCTCAACTTATAAATCAACTTTGTTTACCTTATTGTTTTCAAAGTTTCCAAAATTGCCGTATGATTATTGACTGTACTGAGATATCTTGTGATATACCTAAACAATTAGATCAACAAAAGTTGACTTACAGTAATTACAAACATAGAAATACTCTCAAAGAATTAATTGGTATAGCACCCAATGGGGTCATAACTTTTGTGAGTAAACTATATCCGGGATCCATTTCAGATAAAAAAATTGTAGCTGATTGTGTAGTTTTAATTTATATTTCAACCAGGTGATCTAATTCTTGCAGATAAAGGCTTTCTTATTTCTGATCTTCTTCCTAGTGGAGTTAACTTAAATATTCCACCATTTTTAGTTTCACCTCAATTTACTCCGAGTGAAGTTGTAAAAACCAAAAATATTGCAAGAGCTCGGATTCATGTGGAACGTGCAATACAAAGGTACCACAAGAGTACCATATTTTGTGCCATATTCCTAAATGTTTGTATGTAAAAGCTTCAATTGTTTTTCAATTATGTGCAGCATTGGTTAATTTTAGAAATCCTTTGATGAAAGAAGTAGACAAATTATATATTTCTGAAGATTAATTTATTTTATAATGTAATAATTAAAGTAGGTATGTATAACGAAAAAAAAATTGACAACTTAGTTTAGTATGATTAAAATTACAATAGTATATTAAGTAAGAAGTAAAATTTATATATATTGTATTATTAGATTAAAATATAATAATTTAATAATACAAATGTTTAATGTTTAATTTGTATTTGTATTGTTTTTTAATAACCATTGAATGTATACTGAAAAATAAAAATCAATTAAAATTGTTAATATTTGTAACCCAGTTAACATTTTTTTCGATTTCCACAGCTACAATACTTTTATAGTGGTCCAAATGATTATAATACAACCTTCAGATTTAGTTAAATATATTTGATCAAAATATTCATGTTTTATATTTAATTTATAATTATTTATATCTGTATCAAAGTTTATTATATAATCTGAGTTTTCTGACAAACACTGTTTTAAATCTTGATTGCGATATTTAAATGGACATTTGATTTCAACACAATATTTTTTTATTATTTATAGAAGCAACTCCATCAGGACTTCTACCTATTACTCCTGCTTCATGAATCCAAATACCAGTAGATAAAACATCAATTTTATATTTGTTTTTAACCTTTAGTGACGCTCGTGGTATCAGACCATATAGTTGCGCGCGTGGGGTAATTATTTTCCGTTAATATAAAAACACTTTTTTCTTTACATTATTCAGTTATTATTGACTATTTATTGCAGATTTTAAATTACAATTTATAAAATAACTTTCTTATTAAATTAATTAAGTATATATTAATTAATTTACATGCGTGTTTTACAAATTTTAATAAAAAAAAAAATATTTAATAATCTTTGTTTACAAATACATAATTTTTATTTCCTTAAAATTTAAAATTATTAAAACTATGAAGCCTCGAAGCAGTCAGGGCAAGTCTCTATTATATGGTCTCTGCAAATGAGCCTTGCGCAATTAGTACATCCTTTTGTAGCCTTACGATCTTTTGAGCGGTCACAAAAAGTACATCTTCCAGAAGCTCGTACACGTTGTATTTCCCCCACGTTAGGTCTTGTTATGTTGCAGTATTCATTTAGTCTTAATTTTATTTGTTTTGGCAAACAATCCAGTGTCAAACGATATTCCATTTGTTCTTGCATTATTTGACGAGCTAATGTCTTCAAAAATACAAGTCTTGTTTTTCTTATTGAAGTATTTTCTTGGAAAATAATTTGTGCGTTTAGTCCACCGATGTTTAGCATTGAATAAAAAACTACTAATAGACAACGTATACACCGCCGTGCAACAGTGTAATTCTCGGTTTTCTTATCCATTGTATCCACAGAGCCTTTCGTTGCATTATACATCGTTATCATGTTTGGTTTTTTTCCGCTCCTGTACTACTGTCGATTGAATTATCATTGTGCATTGTGGATAATAGTAATACTATTTTGTTATTTTTAGGTTTGTATGAAACTAGAACTTTTTTTCCACTAAATCCAAAATAAGAACTAAATACAGGGCGATTTTTCGTGATTTTAAATTCCTGTGGTATTTGAGTTTTATTTTTCCTAAGGGTACCAAGTAAGGTGAGTTTTTGATTCAGTAATTCATCTGCGAGCGGAACACTAGTAAACCAGTTATTGATTGTCACGTTTCTTCCTGTATTCCTAATAGGTTGTATCAAACGATGAACAACATTATTCGGACTGTTATCAATACTAAATGGACCATCAGGTTGTTTTCCGGCATAAATTTCCATATTACTGGTGAAATATGAAATGTTATCTACCATAGCAAAAATTTTTATACCATATTTAGCAGGTTTGGACGGAATGTACTGCCTAAAAGAACATCGACCACGAAAGGCTTGGAGTTTTTCGTCTATAGTGACAAACTCGGATAAACTATATGACTGTTTACACTGTAGTATAAAACTTTCAAATAACCATCGCACATGGGTTATTTTATCAAACTTTTTTCTTTCTTCGAGTCCTCTTATGTCATCAAAACGTATATATCGCAATAAAAATTCAAACCGTTTTTCTGACATAACACATGATACAATATCTACACCTACTCCATCTAATTTCCACAAATCCCGAGCATTTCTATGACCACATTTTATTGCACCTAATAACAGAAATATGATAAAAAAATAAATAAACAACTACCTATATATTATATATTATGTATATAATATAACATAACAAAATACAACGATAAGAACGACGACGAGTGACGAAAATAATTACACAATAAAATTCTATATAATAATAATATTATATTATATAGCAATAAAAAAATGAAAAATACGAAACTGAATTTTACTCAAAACTTATATATTGGTTTTTACGGAACTTTTCTTAGCAGGGCAGTATCATATAATAATTTATTACAATATGTGTAACGTATACAAATTTATAATTATTATAACTATAAAACTATAATATAAATTATTATTACTTAGGTACCGATCATGTACAAGCAACCAAGTAAACCTTTTATTTCCCGTGTGGTTGTATGAGCTACATCTCTTTCTCTGGTAAAATTTGACTTAATTTTATCGATATATATATTTGTACAGAACACTATATTATGTTCAATCATAGGACCCGTAAAAAAAATATACCACGCGTCAATTTCAGTTTTTGCATTTTTTGCCAAATTAGTCACACCTGGTTTTTCAGTTATCTTATTGTAACTTGGATTTTTGGTTCTCAGATTTGGCTTACGACGATTCCATTTTGTCCCATCTTTTCCATAAAAACACTCTACACGCATACTTAGTGGAATTTCATCGTCAGATTCATGATAAGATTCGCAATCTGCTGATACCTAGTGTTTGTTGAATATCATTGTGAATCTCATCATCGGTCGATTCTCCTGATTGTTCGGTGTTCGAAGTTTCTAATACATCAAAATGTTCATCGGGTGAACATTCGTCAGTGGAAGATGTACCACCCCACAATTCCTCGTCACTTATGTCATCCAATAGGCATGCAATACGACGGCGTTCTAATTCGTCCATACTTACAAAAAACGACTATAATTTAATAGAAATAAGCGCGCGCGGGGTAAATTTTTACCGAACTACAAACACAACCAATTTAGTCAACGATTACTCACGTACTGATTGTAATTAAATCCAGATTGTTACGTTTTTATGATTGTATGATAGTGACTATACGATAGCATGACCCGCATGAGTGTGGAAAAACCAACGAATATTTGATAGCATTTTAAAAATAGACTGTGGTAAATAATTACCCCAATAAAGGTTAAATTCCTTTAATGCCACTTCTTCATGATTTTTACCCCATTGAATAGATCGTACTGAATTTAGATTGTAATTGCCTAAAAGTGTTTTAAATAATGATGGTGGAAATTTGTTTCGATTAATGCACTTCAGAACTTTGTGGAAATTACTTGCAGTAATTCTATACTGTTTATAAAGGGACCATTTTATATTTACCGAGTGGCCAGTTGTGTATGTAGCTATTTTTTCTATTTTATTCTGGTTTAATTTAAATAAATTAGAAATAAATTCTTTTTTATCAATTACACATTCAAATTCTTTTGAAAATAGTATAGACTCTAATGGTGGTAAATTTACAATATCATTTGAATGGTTAATAGGTTCAGGTTTCAGTAACCAAGAAAATCCTACTATATGGTTACCATATATTCAATGGGAAATTGTAGTATATTGCTGATATTGACTGGTAATTAGCATGGGAACCTAATGGGTTGTTAATTTCCAGATCGTCAATATACATAAAAAAAGGAAATGTAAGTTTTTGATTGTTTTGAGATATTTTATTTTTCCATAAATCACATTGAATAAAATTGGAAATAGTGTTGGAATTACTTTGGTTTAAAGCTATAGTTTTTTCATACATATTTTTAAAATTGTCACCGTGTTCAAAAAACTTTCGAAATTGAAATCTCAATGGTAATAACACCCCCTTTGTAATTGCTTCATCATAAGTCACTATACCATCATGTTGGACCACACGAACCTCGTTGTTAATAGTTAATTGTTTCAAATTATCTAAATAATCATTTTGCATCAACCACTTATTCAAATTATATTCATTACTGCAGTGAATAAACGGATCTGATAAAAGTTCAGAAAAAGAATGAAATTTACCTTTTATTATTGGTTCTTGAATATTAATTTGAACGTAGTGGCTATTTTAAGTTATACCTAACCTAACACTAAAGTAAATCACGTTAAACACTTACGGTGGTAACGCACGTTAACAATTAACATTAAACACTTGAAAAAATCACGATATTATAAAATTATTTGGCTGCTAATTTACAAATAGTACAAAACCACTGTTTTGATTTCACATTTACTCTTGCGCATATAAAATGAGACCATTCCAAACAGCGGTTGCAGCAAATGGATTTTGTGGAAGCATCTTCTGAACAAACCGGACAAACCCAAGTTGCACGTTGTTTTTTGGCATTAATAATTTGTTGGACAGCAGTCCATCCATCTGTTGTAAAAAAATGTTTAATTTCTCCTACAGCTATAGTTTCGTCAATTATTGCACATTGTACTCTTTTTGGTATGCATTCAACATCACTTTCACTGATCAATTTGTTCGTATTGATTGCAAGCATTGCCAACTCTTCGTCTACTAACCATTTTAACATTTCAGATTGTTTTATTTTTAATGGCAGTTTTTGAAAACAAACCAACCCAACTGAATCCACTTTTCTTTTTTTTGGAATGCCAATTGCTGTCTTGTCATTACCTACATAATATTATATTGTGGTTTAAGTAAGTGAAATAATAAACCTTAATTAAAAACTTAGAATTACCTTTTGGACAGCCCCTTTTTGGAATCCTAGGTGGTAGTATTGGTAACTCATTTAGCACCAACTGTTGAGGCTCATTTAGCGGGAAATATTGTTATATTATCATATTATATCTTTATCAGTTATCATGGTCTAGTGACACTTATCAATTACGGTAATTGATATCAGATGTACTATCAGTATTAATATTACGTCCAATCAGGTGACAGGACGTGAAAATACATAGTTTCACGTATGACGTGAAAATAGCCACTACGTAATTTGAATTATTTCACTAAGCAAAAGGGTCATTGGTTAGTATTTTTCTTTTAGTTCACTTTGAATTATAATAATGTCTTTAAAATTAAAATTGTTGTTGTTGTGTAAACCCATTACAAAATCAATAGCTAGTTTATAAATATTATTAATAGATTCATTATAATTAAAATAATTTTCTATTATTTTTTGTTCAGAATTATTTTCTATACCTACAGTGTCCATAGGGTATTCATTATCATTATTACTGGTAGACTGTTTCAATAAGCATTGAGAACTTGATGAGGGATTAGTACTAACAATTTTATTTTGTTTTTCATGCTTATTATTAACATGTCTTTTAAATTTTGCTAATGATGAAAAAATATGTGAACAAGAACTTTCACAGCATACATAAGTACTATAAGGAGTTAATGAATGAAACACTTTAAAATGTACAACAAGAGAGGAGAGATTTTTGACATTAATTTTACAAATAAAACAAATCATTTTCCTTGTAGATAAATGTATATTTATTAGCGTTTTATTATATAAGATTGTATATACCTGGTAATTAGTAAAAAAAAAAAAAAAATATTATTGTGGTATAAAATTGTTTTACCATATATTATTATTATTTTAATTTGTATAGCAATTAAGTTAAAGAAAAATTAGTTTTGTATTTTTAATTTTATGTAATTGAAAACTATTATACTATATATTGGCTGAAAACTAAATAAAATAAAATAAAAATACTTACAAAATTAAGTCACTATTACCTATTTTTCTAAAAATAAAATAATAAGTTACTTACCTAGTGGCTAGTAAGTTGAAGCGTTGAAATAATGTATATTTAATTTTAATTTTAAAACAAATAATATAATCTATTAACTGAAAAAAACTGTCAAATAACTGAAGAAAAAAACAGCTCGAGCCCTCGAAAATTCGAATTTGCGAGTTGTGAGTTGTGACAAATGTCAGAGACAAAATATTGTTAGTAGGTATTAAACTATTAAGTAATAATTATTGCTAATAATTTTTTTTGTGCTCGCAGTACGATATACTGCTTTTATAAGAAAATTTAAAAATACGAAAATCGTATTAGATTCTTTGAAATTCAAATATAAGACTAATGATTAGAGGTATACACACGTGTTAATATGTTGCGTATATACAGGTGGATCATCGTGTTTCCTTATTTTTCTGTACAGCTATTATTCAAAAACTGGAAAACACGATGATCCACTCAGCACTCTGTATAATTACTAAATGTAATCAGTGTCGCGGAAACCAGCCGTTGAAATACGCGAAATTTGGACATTCTAAGATTTTTAGTATAAAATATTATGTCAATTTTACAAACAATTTATTCGTTCAATAAACAAATTTATCAAATTACTGAAAACAAAATTATCATTTTAATAAATCAGATTTATAAAATCAACAAAACGTATATATTTCTCTATTTATTAATTTAATACAATTTCTATTGACATAATATTTTTTTTCATTACCTTGACAATTTATTTTTTCTTATTAATAAAGACGTTTTATTGAAGATTGATAAATATCATTTAATAAAATTGATGGTTATTTTTCGTTGAGTGTATATACAACATAATAGTAGGTCGATTTATTAGGTAAAATTACATGTATTCAAAATAAAATGTATATTAATTTAACCTCAACTTAGAAAAATTAATTTTCTTGCTTTTAAAGATGTAAAATCTTTGACGAGATCATCAATGTCCAAGTCGTCAGCGATATCATGTTCAATTGAAATTGTTGCTAGTCCTACCAAACGGTCTTGTGAAAATGTTGAACGTAAATAGTTCTTATTAATTTTCAATTTAGAAAAGCTTCTTTCTACCGAAGCTGCAGTTACTAGGTATAGTTAGCAAAAGTCTCAATGCCACGTAAACATTAGGAAATATTTCTATTAATTTATTTTTGTACAAATGTTAATATTAGCATTTTCTATACACTCAAAGAAATACGATTGGTAATTTTGACAATACACAATTTTCGATGCTTAACACTATAAAGTTTTTCACTATGAAAATGTTTTGTTTATTCTACAAGGTTAATATTGGGGATAATAATATTGTTTTATTGATATAAACATGGTGTATTGTTAATTATAATATTTCAAAAAATAAACTGTTATTTTATTGACAATACAATTTGTAAACTTGATAATTTAGTACCGTTGATTCCACAAATATATTATCAATGTGATAAAATTATTTATAAGTATAAACATGAGTACCGTGGCGTTGGAGGGACAGGATTAGAGACCCGAGTCATGAGCGGGTCGAGGGAGGTGCAATAATGCAATAATTCTACAATAATATTATCAGTAGGACAAAAATATTGTCAATGTGATAATTGACTACACGGCAACCGGCTACACGTATATTTTGTTCTTTGTTGTTCTCCGTTCTCCTTGCAGACGTGAACTCATCTTTTCTGGCTTTCTACAGATTTTATAGTGTTACAGTGTGTATTACTTATACAGTAATACTAATACTACAAGTATTACTTACAAGTGTTTTCCAGTGTATTCGCACAGACAGGTAAGCAATAAAATGATTTGTTTTATTTGTAAAGCAGTTGTCAATAATTTGCATGCTTTGGTGGCTCACTTTAAAATAATTCATCTCTTAAAACCGCATAGCACCTATACGGCTATACTTGTTGTGAAGCATTCTGCTCTCAATCATTTAACTGTCTGTCTTCTTTCAAAAGACATATGCTAAAAAAACATGTTACTCAAAATTCTAATAATACAATATTAACACCTAATAAACAGCAAAATAATATACTTAACAATGCAATTTCAAATGAAAATAAAAATAATTTTTCTAATGAGAATAATGACAATCAATGTGTTGATAATATAGTTATTAGTACGTTTGATTTTGAAAATGCAGTTGAACTCTTATATCAGTCCACCGTTAAATTTATTTTAACTTTACATAATAGTAATAACTTTAATTTTAGTGATATAACGTTCATTCAATTTGAAATGAAAGCAAATGTTTTGAAACCCATTGCCTCAGTTTTTAAAAAATTAGTTGAAAAAGAGATTAATGAACCTTTACAACTTTAGTATAACATAAATAAATAATAGGTAGAAACCACCTGTGTTCTTTACTAAAGTTTTGTTAAATTTTAATATAGTACAATAATGATATGTAATATTATTTTGACATCCATACCTAACATTTTTAAATTCATAAACATTTTTTTAAAAAAATATGATCAATATATGAAAAAGACTGACTGGATGTTATTTCTGGTGGTTTCATTTATACAAGATTTAAATCCATAAGAGCTTAAGATATTTTGATAATTATAAGTACACTATAAAATTTTCAAAATATTTTGACTCGTATTGAGCTGTTTACGGACATTTTCAATTTCCAAATTCGAATTTTGACAAAATGTATCAAATTTAAAATTTAAAAATTTATAAAATGGTCAACCTTTATAGCAAAGGATTGAAAATTTAAAACCAAATAGTTCCACGTAAATAGGGTAAATAAATTACTTTATAGTTTATTCACAATAATATCATCAATTATACTATAAAATATTAAAATATTAAAATATCATAGTCTTCACTCAGAATTATTTTTCGTATGCCATGAAACTGAAAAATCAATATTGGCCATCCATACAATCTACCATAGTATAAGGAATAAGAAGTATGCTCAATGATAAGACTGTTCATATTTTTTTTTATTACCATTGGTATGTATATAATATGTCTTAAACCTAGACCACCGTCTCCGCTCAGAATCGTTTTTCTTATACAATGATATTATATCATTGAATTCAAATTTAACACCATTCATTACAGTGACCAACTTGTACAGCAGATTGACACCCACTTTCCCACCTTTTTCCTCTTGTAACAATTAAAATGTATTCTGTAAATAAATAAATTTAAAAAATAAAGCAGAACCCTTAAAAATCCCTCATTCACAAAATGCAAAATAGGTTTTCAATTTCACTCCCCAACATGAGATCATTCTAGCTTATTCAGGAACCTTTGAAACAGCCTGTACAATATAAAATATAAAATTAATATACATATATGTATATATACAACACTGTTTGGAATCGTATACGCTAAAAGTTTATGTCCATTAAAAGTAATTAAAGCTGTAATATCATCCGTGAACAAGAGTCACGAAAAGTACCCGTCCCATATATAATTACGTTGATAACGAAATGGTAATAAGAAAGAGAAAAGAAAAATCTCATTTCGAAGAAACTATTTGCTGCGGTAACGTATAGGTACCTACATATAAATATATAATGTATTTTTATAGGCATTATATATTATAGCCAGGTCCGTAAAAAAAGGTTCTCTGCTGTACAGTAGGTTACAAGTGGTTCACTGTTTAATGGATGGTATTAATTTGAATTCAATGATATAATATCATTGTATAAGAAAAACGATTCTGAGCGGAAACGGTATGTCAGTCCAGGTATAAGACATATTATATACTTATCTATGGTATTAAAAAAAAATGACCTATAATAGATAAATTTAACCTCTTCGTGCATGTAGGTATCATATGATACCGCAACTAATTTAATTTTAGCTGTTAAATATTTTTGATCCATTTGTGCATAAAGGTATCTGTTACGGCGCGAACACCGTAATATACTTATATATAATATCGATGTAATGTTTATATGAAATCGTTATCTGTAAGATTATCATTGTGGGCTTGTGCCGTACTATGTCCTCACGTATTATTTAGTTGCCGTCGGACCAGTCAAGTGGTACGACACACGCAAAACGAAATATACAGTCCACTTATTATATAATAAAAGTTTCTAGTTTTTTATTTTGGTTTTGTTCAATAAAAACAATCTATTTAGAAACAAACATTTTGGTCCAATCGAACCGGATTGACTAGCAATACATTTTGCGTAAATACGTCCCGCGAATTCGTTCATCGTTGTCGTTCAGTGGACATATTGTCTAGTTCAAACTTTGAAGTGTATGTTGTTCTTTAGTTCGTTTTGAATACATATAAATAAATATAACGTCCCCGCGGACACAGTAACCGTGCAGTGGCATTATTATAGTCAAATCGAACAATCAAAAAAGAAGAAAAAATTGTCAAAGTGGTCCTGTTTTTCAATGCTCTAGTGTGCAGTGGCTGAACATTCATCGGTCGACATACAACCAGGTGAGTGAGCTAAAAATATTAGAAAATAAGGGCACAAGTTTCCATTCATTTTCCTTTAGGCACATTCTATAAAAAAAAAAAAAATTAAAAACGTATATATACAAATAAAGTTTTCATAAGGTTGAAAATATAAATTAAGGGAAAAACCAAAAACGTAATAATGCAGGGTGGTCAGTCAAATGAATTGGCCGTCTATGTATTGAGGCGAGGTCAATTAAAGGCGCAGCTGACAAAATTCCAAACATATATCAATAATGTAGATGTGGATAACAATATCATGCAGATAAAGATAAGTCTAGATAAAATAAAAGAACTTTGGACTGAGTTTGATGTAGTTCAGAATAATATCGAGGCATTAGATACCAGTAATGAGCAATTGGACTACAGAGATACGTTTGTAAATTTATATTTTGATATAGTTGCAAAAGCAGAGACTATGGTACAAGGTTCAAATGTAGTTAGTGGCATAAACAGGTTGAGTATACCGGGCAATCTTGCGCAAGGAGGTGACCCGGCGATAAAAATGAAGCCGTTAGAATTACCGTCGTTTTCGGGAAAATTTGAAGAGTGGTCCACATTTAAAGATTTATTTTTGACCATGGTACATTTAAATCCAACAATAGCAGGTGTACAAAAATTTGTATATTTAAGAATGTATTTGTGTGGGGACGCATTGGCTCTGATACAAAATTTAGCGACCACAGGTGACAATTACTCGATTGCATGGAACACTGTCGTAGAACGATATGTCAATAAGCGTATTCTCATACAATCTTATACGAGAAATATATATGAATTAGAACCTATGCAAAAGGAGTCGAGTGTGTGTTTAAGGAAGTTTACTGCTGATTTAAACATGAATATGCAAGCTTTAAAGGCGTTAGGTCATGATCCAGATGCCTGGGGTGCGCTATTATTGCATGTGATTCTAGTCAAATTAGATTATAATACAATACGAAATTGGGAATCTGTGGCGACCAAAGATATATTACCCTCTATATCGGAGTTGACAACATTTTTAAATGAACGGTGTAAAATATTAGAGGCGATTGATACCTCAAAAAATTTATCGAATAAATTAAATACGTCGCATTATACACAGTCTAAGCAAAATTATCGCAATCCAAATGATAAAAACGTCCAATTTAAAAATAATAAAAAAGTAAATGCATTTGTTGCTACCAATCGTTTAGCATGTTATTTATGTAAACAGTCACATCCTATTTACAAGTGTCAAAAATTTATCGCACTCAATGCGAATGAAAGAGCACTAAAGGTTGATGAACTAAACCTATGTCGCAATTGCCTGGGTACGGGACACACGGATGTACAGGTGTGCAGGTCGAAAAGGGTATGCTCCAAATGTGATAAAGCGCATAATACGTTGCTGCATGGTGATGTACCACAAGTTGTACAAAATCCGTCTACGTCAAATGTGTCTAATTCGGAAGTGGTGGTGAGTCACGCCGCCCGTGGTCAAACGCGCGCACAAGTACTATTAGCGACTGCAGAGGTACATATATTAAATGCATGCGGCGAACTAGTTGTATGCAGGGCATTACTAGATAACGGCTCACAGATAAATATTTTGACCGAAGCAATGGCACAGCGATTAGGGCTTGCAAGAACAAAAATAAATAAATCAATAACAGGTATAAATGAGGTAGTGAGTCGTGCCGCGTATCAGGTAACCGCGTCTATTAAGTCACGTATAAATAATTATTCTGCCACCTTAGACATGCTGGTATTGCCAAAAATTACCGGAAAACTGCCGACCAACAATATCGATACTAACAAATGGTCTATACCCGCGGATATTATGTTGGCAGATTCTAGGTGTTTTAAGCCGGAAAAAATTGATTTATTGATTGGTGCCGACACCTATTGGGAAATAATGTGCTCGGGAAATTTCAAACTGCACACAATGGGTCCGTACTTGCAGCAAACAATGTTCGGCTGGATTATTGTAGGACCAGTGAATGAAATTTCATCAAAAAATAATTCAATGGCTTGCTTTGTAATAAGTGAAGATAATTATTCAAATTTGGAAAAGGATATTGAAGAATTTTGGAAAATCGAAGAATTTTCCAATGCAAATATGGACGAAACGTCGGAAGATAGTATTTGTAGAAAACATTTTGAAGATCACGTATCAGTAGATTTCACGGGAAAATTTGTAGTAAAATTGCCGTTTCGAGATAACGTAGACATGTTAGGCGAGTCATATAACATAGCGTTAAAAAGGTTTTTATCGTTAGAGCGTCGTCTCGGGAAAAATCCCGAGCGATATAGTCAATATAAAGGGTTCATGGAAGAATATGAGCATTTGGGACATATGGAGAAAGTTAATGAGGACAATGACCTATCAGTGAAAACGTATTACATGCCACACTCTTACGTTCTTAATGATAGTAGCCGATCAACTAAATTACGAGTGGTATTTGACGGCTCATGCAAATCAGAATCTGGATTATCGCTAAACGATGTATTGTTAAAAGGTCCTATATTACCGGTGTGTACTAGTTGCGGTCATAATCAAAAATGACATACTAGTTGCGGTCACCCCTCAAAAAGGTTACATACTAGTTGCGGTCACCCAACAAAAAGGTTACATACTAGTATAGTTACATATTTTTACTCAAATAATAATAACTAAGTAAACTAAATAATATAATATAATATAGTTTATATAATAATTAAATATGAAATTAATATTTGGTTTATTTATTTAATTTAGAAAAATTTACTAATCAACATTTTCCTTCCCATTTATATCGAAAAAATAACAGACTTAGGACTGTCTACACTATTATTTATTGTGTAGGTTAAAAGGTTAAAAATGTAGATACTTATGTGTAAACTTGTGTCAAAGTATAATATAATATAATATGTATAATAATGTCAAATAATTATTATTATATAAATTGTGTAAATTTTAAAATTTTGTTGGTATAAATTTAAAGGAAATCGACTTTAGAAATTCAAGCCGATTTATTTCGCCTTCTTATCGTATAATATACATTTCGCCTGGAATTGGAGTATAATAAAGCTATGACCGCAACTAAGATATTACCTAAATTGGCGTGACCGCAACTGTTATATCCGTTTATCTCAAAAATCGTCATGACCGCAACTAGTATGCAGCCTATATTACAAGATGACCTCACATTAATTGTTACGAGATTTCGTACACATAAATATGCATTTTCAGCTGATATTAAAAAAATGTATAGGCAGGTATGGGTTGATAATGCAGATAGAGATTATCAGCGCATATTGTGGCGCGGTGATCCTAATGAGCCTATTAAGAAATATAGATTGTGTACAGTAACCTACGGAACGGTACCTGCAAGTTTCTTATCGGTTGCGTGTCTTCATAAATCGGCGGATGTAAATAAAATACGTCCGGAGATAGCTCAGATAATAAAGCATGATTTTTGTGTTGACGATTGTTTAACGGGCGCCTCAACATTATCGGAGGCTTTAAATTTGCGTAATGAATTAATTAAATGTTTAAGTAACAATGGATTTGAATTAAGCAAGTGGACAGCTAATCATGCCGATTTATTAAAATATATACCAATTCCTAATGAAAATTCACTATACTCGTTAAATATGGAAACTGAAGCAATAAAAACATTAGGTTTGTATTGGGATTCAAACTCGGATAGTTTCATTTATAAAGTGTCTTTACCAATACCTGAACATAAGATAACCAAACGAAGTATTTTATCTAATATAGCACGTCTATTTGACCCGCTCGGATTGCTCGGACCGGTTATCGTGATAGCTAAAATATTAATGCAACAATTATGGAAATTAAAAATAAATTGGGATGATGAATTATCAACAGAAATTCAAGTAAAATGGAAAAAATATTTAAAGGATTTAAATCAATGCAATAATCTAAGTGTCCCGCGCTGGTTGCAGTGTGACGACACAGAAAAAATATATATACACGGATTTGCCGATGCATCGTGCAAAGCGTACGGGGCTTGTTTATATGTAGTATGCACGCGCGCGGACGGTAGTCGCCACTCACAACTAATATGCGCAAAATCAAGAATTGCGCCGATAAGTATAATAACAATACCGCGATTAGAGTTATGCGCTGCCTTACTATTATCAAAATTAATAAAAAAAATAGTTCCAGCGTTACGAATTAATGTTACGAATATTTATTGCTGGAGTGATTCTAAGGTGGTACTAGCGTGGATCGCATCGGATGCAATGCGTTGGAAACCGTTCGTTGCAAATCGTGTGAGTAAGGTTCATAATTTAACATCACAGTATTCATGGTCGTATATTAATACGAAGGAGAACCCGGCTGACATTTTATCCAGGGGATGTGATGTTCAAGATATACAAAAATGTACATTGTGGTGGAACGGACCCGCATGGTTGACGGACGAGCACGCGAGATGTGAAGAACTCTGTCAAGTACACGAAGATGAGGAGACACTATGTGAAGAGCGAAAGCAGTCGAACACAGTAGTAATGGTCGCTGAAGTAAAGGCAAATTATTTTATACAACTGTGTGAAAAATATTCAAAATTAAATCGGTTTCAGCGTGTGTTTGCCTATACATTGAGGTATGTGCATAATATTTCAAGTAAATTAAGAGCAAAAGAAAGATACTCGGGTCCTCTCAGCAATGACGAGATCCAAAAATCGGTAAAAATATTCATTAGGCTCTTACAAAATCAATTTTTTGGGGAAGCGCTTCAAAATAAAAAATTGCAGTCATTAAATCCTTTCTTCGACAACGACAGTATATTGCGTGTGGGTGGCCGACTTGGAAACGCGACAGATTTAACTTATGACCAACGGCATCCAATTATCATACCATATTCGTGTCATTTTGATACACTAATTTTTAGAAACGAGCACGAAATGTCATTACATGCTGGGCCCCAAGCCATGTTGGCAAATGTACGATTAACATATTGGCCGATAAACGGTCGTCGAACCGCTCGAAAAGTCGCCCATAAATGTATTGCGTGTTTTAAAAATAAACCTAATATTGTAGAACCAATTATGGGTATTCTACCAAAACCAAGAGTGAACCGACCATTAAGATGTTTCGAAACTACGGGTGTTGATTATGCGGGACCAATATTAATGAAGTCGCACGCACGTAGAAACGCACAGCTACAGAAGGCATATATATGCATTTTTTTATGTTTTGCAAGTAAGGCTGTACACATAGAGCTAGTATGTGATCTCAGCACGGATGCCTTTATAGCTGCCTTGCACCGGTTTATATCAAGAAGAGGTAAATGCCATACCATATATTCCGATAATGGTACTAATTTCGTGGGTGCTAACAAAAAGTTAAGTGATTTGTCCACACTTCTTCTTTCCGAACAGCACAAAATTCGCGTTCAAGACACGTTAACACTACACGAAATTACGTGGAGGTTCATACCGCCTCGGTCCCCCCATTTTGGTGGTTTGTGGGAGGCTGCAGTCAAGGCCGTAAAAAAACACTTGAATCGAACGATTGCAAATTCACGGTTAACTTATGACGAACTATATACGGTACTAACACAGATAGAATGTTGCTTAAACTCCCGTCCTTTAATCCCTATATCCGAAGACCCTACGGATTTGAATGTCCTTACTCCCGCCCACTTTCTAATAGGTAGCTCACTACGCGCACTGCCTGAGCCTGACGTGAGAGATATATCTATTAATAGATTGTCTCGATGGCAAAGAGTGCAGCAACTTGTCCAACACGTTTGGGCACGATGGAGCAAGGAGTATTTGGGGCAACTACAGGGACGAAACAAGTGGTCCAAATGCAGAGGACCATCCATTCAACCTGGGACGATGGTGTTAATAAAGGAGAATAACTTACCTCCTTTAAAGTGGTTATTAGGCAGAGTCACAAATGTTCACCCAGGACCTGATGGTGTCATAAGGGTAGCTACGGTGCATACGAATTTGGGATCAAAAAAGCGAGCTGTTCGGTTATTATGTCCATTACCCATAGACACATGAATCACACAGGTTACGTGTTAATTAATTCTGTTTATATAATTGTTTACTATCCATATTTACCTCATTAAACGTGTACAACTGTAGCACACTATTTATAAATATTATATAGGTCAGCTAATATCAACTATTAAGTATCCATATTGATGCATAAGCATATATATATATTTATTATTTAATGACCGACCATTGTTATCTTCATTGTAGCGATAGTCAATAATATTGTGTATTATTTTTTGATCTTTGTTCACCTATTTAGTGAACATTAGTTCTACCACCTAATTATTCGATTACATTTATTATTATTATTTTTATTAGTTATTGTAAAATCATATGAAACCTGTTTGTAATAATTTATATTTAATAAGTCATTTATATTGTTTAATTATTCTTTTTTATAATATGTATTATATTTTGAAACCGTGTTTCAAGGTGGGCCCATGTTACGGCGCGAACACCGTAATATACTTATATAATATAATATCGATGTAATGTTTATATGAAATCGTTATCTGTAAGATTATCATTGTGGGCTTGTGCCGTACTATGTCCTCACGTATTATTTAGTTGCCGTCGGACCAGTCAAGTGGTACGACACACGCAAAACGAAATATACAGTCCACTTATTATATAATAAAAGTTTCTAGTTTTTTATTTTGGTTTTGTTCAATAAAAACAATCTATTTAGAAACAAACAGTATCATATGATACACTTGATAACAACCGTCTCATAATATTCGTTCCTATGTTCAGACTATATGAGAATTTTTAGTCACATGTGTGATAACCTACTGTATTGATAATACGCAAAATATGAAAATCTAAAAATTCGTGCATGAAGAGGATAATAAATTCCAAATTAACTATGTCACAATATCCATTAAGTAATTATAACGCGTTATACATCAATAAAAAACAATGATACTATTATAGATATATAGTAGTATACTATTATACTTTAATAAACTTAGATACTTTAATACTTTAATACTTTAGTTTATACTTTAATAAACTTTAATAAACTAAGTTTCAAGTACCCACGAATAATATTATACAATCACAACGAAATAACGAAAATAGTTATTCTAGGTTTTTTATTATGTAATTTCGACCAAATTTGAACTTAAAATGACTATAAAAATAAACTGTCATTCTGTATTTTTTAGATTTTTTGGTGACAGAATTAAATACTTAAGTGGAATCTTGTTTTAAATTTTCAATTCTTAGATATAAAATTCGAATATTTCATGTACAACTATTTACCTGTTCTAGATCGTGAGTAATACGGACTTCGGCCTGGTTAGATTCATTTTCAGTAACATTATAAAAGATTAGATTGGAGGCTCGAGCAATTTTATTAATTATAAAATCATTGTCAAATGATGTGGTCGTATCAGTTGGCTGGAGTTTAACTTTCCAGTCTTCAACATCAGTGATAAGCTTTTTTATAAGTTGTTTTAGATCGGGCAATTATTTCAAACCTTGATCACATGAAATACAAATTATATACATAATTATATACATATTTTAACATTTTTAAAATACAGATTCGAATACTGTAAATAGTAATTTGTGATATTATGCATTTTGACATAAAATATATATGCACAAACTAGATTTACTTTTCCTCAGGAAAAGTTTTCAAAAGCGCCTAGAAAAACAAAAAAAAATTTATGTTTTTTATAAAAACAAATTATGCAAAAATGTATATACATTTTATTTTACCTAAAATAGTACAAACTATCAAAGGTTTTATTTTTTCTAGGTGACCGTACAAAGTGTCCAACAACCCCCTTTATTATGTACCTAATGAAATCTAATAGTTAGTGAGATATATAATAAATCCTAATGTAGAATAATAGTGCGTTTAATTTATTTCAATATGATAAAATAGTTAACAGAACATAAATATATATTATGCATAGGCGTAACTAGGGGAGGGGGGCTTGGGGGGGGGGCTAAGCCCCCCCTGTCAAAATGCCTAGTCCCACCAACGGTAGCTACATTTTTCAACTTTAATTTTAAATATCGTTTTTTTTTTTTTATTAATATCTTGGAAAAATATTTATTTATTTTTTGGTTATTAAATTGTTATGTAATGTCCCACACGGCCAGACGTAATACGTATCATGTCGAGTAGTATTAACTACATAAATACTACTTAGAAGTTGTCAACAAACTAAACACAAAAATAGTCGTAAAAGACGTACGATTATTCGTTATTAGTGAATGGTTAGGTTAGAATTATGAAACTGACTTAAAATCCGAAATTTTGGTTGCGAAAAATTGTTATGATACTCAATTGGAAAAGATTAACAATCGTCAGGAACATTTAAATCAGCTAAAAGGTATCGTGGAAAAATCTGTTTTCCCAAATTTATACAAAATGCTACATTTAGCGCTTTCAATTCCTACAAGTTCTGCATCTTGTGAAAGAATGTTCTCAGCAATGCGTCGAATAAACACTTATATAAGGTCAACCATGCTACCAAATCGATTTTCAAAGTTATCTATCTCCACTTTTTTATTATTTGTTTTATACATGCCATACACACTACACCCACTGTGCAATGAATTGTTGTATCAATGTTTCAGCGATGTTTTATTGGAACGTGTAGCATCGCAATGCGAGTTGCATACGTGTATGAAAAACATTGCTGCAACACTTAATGCCCTGTTTTTGCTGACATTCAGGAAACAGTGTAAGCACATCTTTTGAAACATAGATGCATTATTTCACGGCAATGTAAATCTAATGTGTTCAAGTAATGTGTATGTAACATCAAAAATGTACTTGGTACATAAACTCTAAGATTTATTAAATCAGTTGAAATTTGTTCTCTGGAAGTCTCATTTAGTCGTACATTTTTTTTGCCTTTAACCCAAAATTCAACTAACCTTTTAGTGACACCAATACATACATTGTGCATATAATCTAAGCATACCACATCAATTATATTTATAGGTAATAACTCTAATGGACTATCTCCTTTATGGTATTCTTCATTTACTTTATTCCTAAATGACTCATTAGTTCTGACAGGGGAGTTAATTTCCAAGAACACTACACGCCTTTCTTTATAGGAGCCTTCCTGTGCACAAGTAGTGCAACCAAAATATGCGTTATGGTCTTTTACATTTAGGATAAACGATTTAGCGGGTGCATCATTGGTCATATGCCCTATTTCAAATCTGAGTATATTACCATTTATTTCAAAACCATTATCTAATAATGATTTTAGGTCTATAATAAATTCATGCAAATATTGTTGAATGCATGGAGGTTTTTTCATTCCATGATAAATTCCAATGGGAAACACCAGATTATTAAATATTTTACAATTAATTATCGAAACAAGAATTGGCCATACCTGGCTCTTAGAACTTTTAGCAAGAGGTAGGCCATCTATATTAATACCCAGTTTTAAGGTGATTGTAAAATCAATAGCATTAACAAATTTATTTAAAACCGGAAGTATCATTTTTTCAAACCCGAAATGAATATAAGTACCTTCAGAACCCATGGAACTGATTTCATGACTTTTAGAAGTCTGCATCAATGTTCGTACATCTTGAGGTACGTTTAACCCTTCTGATTTCATTATATTCAAAATACAATTAACGCTGTTATGAGAAACCTTATACTTTAATACCCATGATTGTAACTTATTTTTTAGTCCTAAGTTATTAGGCAATTCTTCATTAGATAAATTATTTGTTGCAGTTAAATTTAACAGTTGAGAATGATTATCATTGCTGGATAAATTTAAATTATGATATTGGACTTCTTCATCATACATATTTACATATGGAATTACTGGAAGGTCTGATGTATTATTTGATGGTAAACTGTCTATATACAATGTTGAATTAATATTACTTAATTTAGAAATATTTTTAGATTTATCAATCAGGTCATTATGACCTAACTGTTTTACTGTCTTATATCTATTTTGTTTAAGGTCAATAATTTTTTTAAAGTGACGTGATGTTATATTTCCAATACATTTTTTCTTTCTTTCTATTATCTAAAACAATTAAAAACAAAACCAATAATAATAATTTTACTTTATTATTTAAGTATACATTAGTATAGGAACTGCATTATAATAGGTAGATAAAAATAACAACTGCTTTTAAAATAATTAATAATACTTTTAACTTTGTAGTAATGATAAAAAAAACATTTGAACCTGTGACTTAGAATTTTAAATTATTGTTATTAGGTAGTGAAATAATTATTTCAATCTATTTATCCTGGTATTGGCATATCTGAACCAGTCGGATACACATTTTTCAAATTCTGCATCAGTTAATAATTTATTTGCACAGTCCTTAATAACTTCTGAAAGAAAAATATGAGTTAATCTTAATCTTAAAGGAAATGGAAAAAAAAAATTATTATTTTGAAGGAGTTTTTTTTACTTTTTATAGTTTTTATTATTTCTGTGTTGCCAATTTTTGTATTTACATCTTTACCACGACCTGTCCATGTACAGTGTGTAGCATACTCGTTAGTAAATAATTTAGAAAATGTTCTTTTTACATGATCTTTGGGATCACACCCTCCAATGGACTTAATAAAAAATTCCTAGAAATATTAAACGTGTTTAAGGATATTATGACTTTAAATTATAAGACTTGGCAAGTTCTTTCGTACCAGTTTTTCTAAAAAAATGGAGTCATTTATAGCTTTATTTTCAACCATAGTGAACATATCTGCATCATTTAATGGAAAATGTGTGAAAAAATCTTCATCTAATTTAACGGACACATTGTAACGTACCTAAATTACTTCTCTCTTTTAAAGCCTGCGCAATGTAATCCATCTTCGATAGCAGGCGCTCAATCTTTAAGCTTTGTATACTTTGTTCATTGCATACAGCTTCTAACTTATCCATTATATTTTTATTTGAAGGATTTAATCCTAAAATTAATATGTTATGTACTTAATGTTAATTATTAGGTACTCACAAAAAGTATTTAGTTAATATAAAATTTGCAAAAATTTAATTACTGAAATTAGGTGTTGTATGGCTTGAATCTAAATCTTCCAAACTGGTATTTTCATATCCTAATGAATTATTGTAGGATATATTGTTGCCATAAACTGAACTCTGTTTGTTGAATTTTAGAAAGTTATAGAAATATAGTTATTAGATAGTATAATAATAATTATTAAAATAAAGTATGCTTTTTAAGTTTTTTTTAAGCCAACTTTTCATTATAACTACTTATATACTTATACACCTTTTAACTTTTAAGGCTTATATATATATATTGTTTTTTTTTGAACCTATGTAGGTAGTAGATCAAATAAAAATATTACTTTAGTTAAAATATATAATTTCCTAATAATTAAATGTTAATATTTACTTATGTTATTTAATATTTTAGAAATTTTTAACCTTTTACGATTGTGCAAGTAGTCAACACTTTATTTATTATACACTTATAACTTATACATAAATTGGTAATGATTAAAGTAGTTACATTCATTCCCCCACAAAAAAAAATCCAGTAAATCAGAAGTAGAAAATAACTAATCTAAATGGTAAATTTGATTAGATTAGGTCATTATTTTTTTTTCATATAGTTTTTATTAGAAATACCAAATACCTATTATATTGCAGATGAACACTTAAAATTTAGCATCAATTATTTATTAAGTACTGTACTTAATTAGTAAAGTTATTATTATTTTAATAATTATCATTGTAATTACCATTCGTGGAACTTGAGAAAGTTCATGGAGGGAGCTTGTGGAGGGAGCTTGTTGAACAGTATTTTCCACTAGACTATTATTTTGAATATATATCCTGTCACACTGATTTAAACCATCTTCCACGGTTTGTGAAACTTCCAATGTTCTATTAGATTGGCTAATCAATGTCTGACTGGAATTCTTTGGAATAATATAAAAATATACAAAATAAAGTATGGTTTAGGTATTGAGTTAAAGTTTGACATTATGTATTTATAATTCTAAATGGTTAAGATAAAGTTAAGTTAAACTTAATTAAATCATAATAGGTATAAAAAACACTTTAAACCCTAAATTAAAATATAGAAACTGAGAGAAACCATGTGAATATTTAAAAATGAAGTGGGTATATAGATAGCTATTATAATTTACCATTTGCTGATTGGAATTGGCAGTAGATAATATACTGTTTGTATTTTTCTCTGTACTCTGCAGATCCAATATATTATATCCTAAAAAAATATAATTGTTAATTTAAACAGTCATTATAAATATTTCATGTTGTATACCCCATACCTACATTATGTAGGCTACATACCTTAGGGTTTAGAGTAAAATAGGTCAAAATAATAGAAAATAAAGATTTTAATATATAATATATATAGGTATATACTTTACCTTCTTCTTCTTCTTCTTCTTCTGAATTTGACTCCATATCAAAATTGGATTTTTGTTGAAATAGTTTTTTTATTATTTGACTCGTCAACTTCAGTCGTGGATGAATCTGAGCTCAAAACAAATTTATGGTGCCATGCTTTCTTAAAATTACCTATTATTGAGATTTTTAATCATTAAAGTTAGGAATTTGTAGGTAGGTAGATTCAAAATAACATTTGGTATTATATTAGACTTGTAGTTATGTAAATTATATGGATAGGTAACAGTTATACTTACTAAATTCTTTACCATTATTTGCGAACCGAATTTTATAACTTGGCCAATCATTCTCCGGTTCAATTGCTGAGTTAATGATGTCACTAGAAACTATAGTTGGAGGTGGTGGCCATTTACAGTAAATAATAGTACGGCCATCTGGACATGCTGTTTTAGTTAACCAATTTTTTGGTACAACACTGTATTCGTTAGTCTCTGCAAAACTTCCTATCATCCATTTTTTGGTTATTGGGACCTAAATTGTATTAAAATAGTAGAATAAATAATGCATATTTTTAATAGGCTTCAAGACAATAAAGTGATTATTTTACTTATTTTAGGACATTAAGATATAATGGTACAGTGGCGGATTTATACACTGATATATATAATTGATTAATTAATTTTTTTAAATAAATATAATACATTTGAATTACATATTATATTTTAGGAACCCTCCCCCCAATAAAAATTTTGAAAATCCGCCACTGAATGGGTCATGTACTATGTACATAGGCGCAATTAGGTGGGGGCTAGGGGGGGGCTTAGCCCCCCAATTATTTTTTTAGCCCCTCCCAAATAAAGCCATGACATACGTACTTTCTATTCGTCATAGAAATTGGAAAATTTTTTTTTTTAATTAAAAAAAACCTGAAATTATTATTATTTAAGTTATTATCCAGGTTGTACATTTCATAAGATGTAGATTAAAAACTTGGCAGAGGACTACAATGACACAAGAGCGATTTTCAAATTTATCAATAATTAATATTGAAAGGGATCTAACAAATAGTTTAGAGACAAAAACAATTATTGATAAATTTGGAGCAGCTCATAGAAAATTAGTATTCTATTGAATAATAACTTAATTAAAAATTAAAATATTGTAATATCATATGAATTTATTTATTTGTCAGTAGCCATCCGGACATCCGGTTTATAAGGTTATGGGGGTGCGGGGGCGAAGCCCCTGCGTGTTAGTGTGACTTAAACAATTCTAGCCCCCCCAAAAAATTGATCCTAGTTGCGCCTATGACTATGTACTAATGTACTAAACACAATACCTATAGGCTAGTACCTACTAACACGAGTTTATAAAAGCACACCACCAAATAATAATATAATATTAATATCAAGCTAGGTATTTAGTATTTTTTATAAATTAATGTGACTTACCATTCTACTAGAAGTTTGAATATTCATCATGTACCTATTACGTAGGTAATTAAGTGTTTTTTATGTACTTAATAATATTTAACAGGATGCACGCCAACAGTGAAATTATATGAGATGACTGAGATGTGTCTGAGTGAATGTGAGCAGTTTTAAACCGTTAGAACACGCCGAACACGAATAACACAATAATTCCAAATTTAAAAATTACAACAAATACTGAAATACCTAATTAAAATCTATTTAGTTGATTAAATGTACACCTGCAGTAGGTACTGTGACACATAATTATGTGGGTTGTTAACTACGCTTATCGAAGGGCTGCTATCGCACGATCCACGAAATAAGTAATAGACACCTAACGAGTGTTGAGTGTTGACACGTCTTGGCAGGACTTTTGGAAACAAAGTCAGTTAAACCGTTTATCTATTTACTGGCTTATATTATTATTTTATATTACTTAATAAAAGTATGGCAATAATATAATATACATTTTGCTGGTACTTACAGAGTCATTTGAGGGCGGCTTAGGTGTGCATAGCACCCAGAATTTTGAATTTAGCACCCCCAAATTTGTTCATGTTAATTTAAATTTTAAGCTGATTTCCATAACATAAAAAACATTTAAAATCGTAACATATATTATAACTTTTTTTAGTAATTTTTAATACATCTATTGATTTATAATCCATATACAAATATCTATAATAAATGCAAAACTAACTGTTACGTTTTTACGGCTAAACCACTTAACAGATTTTGATGACATTAGGTACCTACAGAGATACAGGAGCGTAATTAAGGGGGGTGAGGGGGATAGATTTTACTAACATTGTTAGGGGTGGGGGTTAGGTTACTGTATGAAACTTACAGATTTTGCTAAAAACTTATAATCCCCTCCCCCCTCAAAACCAAATTCCTAATTACGCCACTGCAGAGATATTATAGCTATTGGACCCTGAGAAGCGCATAGGCTACCTACCCTTTTTTTAATCAACCGATAAGAGGTGCAACTAAATAATCACTATAATTTGATTGCAAGTAGTTGACTTGCTTGATTGAAGTAAAATAAAAAACAATAATTAGATTACTAAGTAACTTACTCATCATAACAAAACTACCTGCCGATATGAGCGAAACCTCGGGTCATATTAAGCACTTTTTATATAAGACAACTAACATTACTAACAATCCATAATTAACTCCACACGAGTATTGTAAATATTGTCCCACTTTCTTTGTTTTTTTTTTTGTTAAACTCTGCAGGTTCTCTGGTGAATTATAATAAATAGCAACGCGCAATCAATACAAAAGTCATTGGATAGGCACACAAATTTAGTTTAGCTCTATGTCACCTATTAGACATGATACACCATTGCCCCTAATGGGAGAACTTAGGGAGGACTTAGTACTTAGATCAAAACAATGTAGGTTATTTTCACCTACATGGATATAGCACCAAGCGAAAATTGAAAACAACTTAGTATAATATGCATACTGACATAATGATTACAGACTGATTTTTTTATGGAACGTAGACGTGTATTAAACACACAATTTCTGAATAATATGTAGGTAGTCACTAGCCTGTACTAAAAAATAAAATCGGGGAGGCACACGTGCCCTCGCCCTTGGTGCCACTCCTAACTAACAGTCATCACAACTATATAATGCAATTATTTTAAATCTGTAGGATACAACTTTATGATATCGTATACATGTTTCATTGTAATATCGTGTCATTGATAAATCATAAACATGTATAGAATATTAGTTGTTGACATATAAACATTATTTTTGTGGAACAATTATATAATATCGCATACATGTTTTTTTGTAATATCGTGTCAATGATGAACCATAAACGTTTATAGAATATTATTTATTAACAAGAAAAACATTATTTTATAAAACAGTTATAGAATATCGTGCTGATGTTAATTGGGAATGTTTTTTTGAAACCTAAATTCAACATAGCATCGATGTTATGTAACTTCCATTACACAGTGGGCAAAATGTATAGTAATAAAATAATATTATAATTTAATAATGAATTATATTTGAGGAACGTGTATGGGGGGTGTGGGGGGCGGAGCCCCCCACATTTGTTATTCATATTAAATATGTTAGGGCTGGAGCCCCCCCCCCCTAACTTTAAGGTCTAGTTACGCCTATGATATTATGTACATTAAACATCATATATGTAAAAATTAGTAAGTAATGTTTTAAATACTGAAAAATATATTTAATTGTAGGTAGGTACTGTTATAGTTATATGCGTAAATAAAACACGAAACTAAAACAAACATTATAAGTAGGTAGGTACTATATAAATAAAATTGTATTATAAAAAAAAGTCTTAGGATCTTAACTTACCCCCTACCCAAATGTGTAGACTTTTTAAGCCATATATGAGAACTATATGAATGAAAGGCATCCCTCAATGTATTATGAGCCACTTTGACCACTGTAGGTAGGTTATAACTAATAAACTAACTATAGTGTAACTTATAGTGTATTTAAATGGTATATACAGTATATAAATATTAAGGCAATTTCAAACAGTTGTTTATTAACGATACATTTATTAAAGCTTATTTTACATTAAATTTCATACACGATGAATATTTTAAGATATAATAATATTAATTACATAACTTAGTCTTCCAAAGAGTAATACTTAATATACAATGATACAATGTAGCCTTATTATAATATGTACACATGTAAAATTTTATTTATGACAACGTATTTTAAGTTGAAACAACAAAATTACATAGCCTGTAAAATTATTTTGATTTATTTAAAGATAACATTTAAATGAATATAAATTCGAGATCAAAAAGAAAAAAAATATCTACATCTAAACACGATTCTTGGCGAATACCTAATGAAATACCATAAAAACTGTTGCGCGAACTAATGATACACATGTCACACAAACACAGGAAATAAAATAATCATTAAACATTTTAAAAACTTGGTTCTCCTGAAACAAAATAATTGAAAATATAGGTATCAAAGTTAAAACACATCAATAAAATGAAACTATTCTGTAATAGGTAAATGACTAGAACATCACAAATAATTAATAACAAATATAAAATTACAATGCTCTCACCCAGTCAGTATGTTTGTTATAGCCCTTGGTAGGTTAAAAGAACATTTTTGATTTGTACTTCGTAATACATTATTTAGTAAATGATAATGTATTTTTAATATCTGTGCGGTGTTTCTCCCAGCCATGAATCTGGACTTGGTGGGAAATCTGCAAAACCATGTGTGCTACTGTTGTCGCTTAGTTCTGATGGCGCAGAATGCGCAGGACCTAATGAAAATAATATGATATTAACCATTTATCGTTAGTAACTATAAAATTTAAAATATATTTCAAACAGGATTATATATTAACAGTGATGTAAAATTCCAATAACTGACATCTAGGAAATGTCGTGCCCTCTAAAAATAATACCAACTCATGCTTAAACGAGTTACTTTTCCCATCTGAAGAAATAGTGTTCACTACTACATTTGAATGACATATAAATAAATAAAAATTACATTGATTTTATAATGATGTGTGTTTTTTTTATTTTTTATTGTTGTGTCTGTTATTACCGTTTGGAGCAGTAAAACAAGAATCTTGTTCAATGGGAAAGTGAATTTAGTTGAAACATTCGTGAGGTCACAACATTTTAATTTTTATGTCTATGAATGTCAATAACATTTTATTTATTGGCTAACATTTTATGGAGATTTTAGGGGGAGGGGTGCTAAGTTACACCCTTTTACCCTATTCGCACCAATTAATCATTAATGTCACATGGGTAGTGGGTACTAATCAAAGGCTACACACCTACTCCTAAACTTCACTATTTCCGTATTCCATTTAAACCATGTGATTAACCCGTCACCAAAATGGCAAAATATACCAAATTGTTGAAAATATTATAATATATAATGACTAGTGAAATCGTCTTATATAAACAGTTTAATTTAATTTGGTGAATAATATGAAAATTCTGAACACGGACCACGTGGTTGAACTGTGACGTGGAATATGGTGAATGTAGTAGTTACCTACCTTTTATAATTTAGAGTACTTATAGTACCTTAAATATCTAGAGTGACTTCGCGTCCTGGGCATTGACATTTAACATTAGGTAGGTTAGGATAGGTACCTATCGGCTATCACTGATCCCACACCACATAGTCAGGCAATGAGTACCTAACAGATTATTTAATAAAGAGTACCTAACTATTTCCTAAACAACGATGCTAATAAAATATGAAACAGATAGGTAATTTCCGTATTTACGTACATTATACGAGTAATACGAACACTATGAACAGTTTAACAACTATCAGCGGAACACGAATTATCGATATTATTTTGATTATCGAGATTCACCAAAGTTACCAAAAAGTCCCAAAATATACCTACGTATTACTAGGTACATGTCATTAAAATTATTATTTATATTAAAATCTGATCATTAATATTTATTTTTATGTTCAAATATTTTTAAATTTTAGACATCTTTTAACATATTAATTAAAAATGAAATGCAATAAGTTTGGGATTTTAATTTAAAATATATAACACTAAAGTAGGTAGGTATAAAGAAAAATTATTTGAATTACCTAGGTACCGGAAGTCATAAAACATAGACAAGTCAGCAGTATATACTGATTTTTAAAGCTTGATTATCATATTAGCATGTAAAGTTGTTAAATTATTAGAATCTTTTTGTTTGTAATAAATTACTTTATCTTTAATATAGTGTGAACATTTTTTTTTAATCTAAAAAATCTTAGTTATTTACTACAGGATTTTCCAGTTCAGCTCGATAAATCGATTCTTGTCGTCAGTTTTGGTTGTTGACGCTGTGACCGAAAAGTGGCTTTTCGTATTGATCATACCAAAATAAGGTGCAGTATAAGTTTTATTACGATAGATAGTGACGGACCCAATAGCATGACACTCGGAAAGCGCCAATATTATTATTTTTTTCTATAAAAGTTGAACTGTTAAAAAATATCGGTGTACTGTTCTAACTATAGGTTATTAAGCGATACCAAAAAAATAACGACCAATCGGAATGCGTTTTGAACGACACGAACACGACATTATGTTTTTTACGTTATTTGGCAAATATATGCAATATTAACAATATAGGTACCACTATATAGATAATAGATATTATTACTAGATTAGGCCAAATTATATCAAAAGTCCTCCACCCAAAAAATTATTTTTTTTTTTCAATCGTCCCAAGACCAAAGTCCGAATATATATTAAACAGTAGGTTTTACCTACTCATAATAAATGGAAAAGTGTACCTTACGTTACCTTACAGACATTCATTTTTTTTTTTTAAATTAAAATACCAACTTTTTTATTTTATTTTTGTCTCTCATTTCTATATTTTTACTTAGGAAAATCTACCTACTCAGAATTAGGTGAGAATTGGTCTGACTAGCCTGACCATTAGTTTTATCTATGGTTAAAACTTAAAACCATAACCCATTATACATTTTATAGATGGTAAAATGACGTGTTCTTACATATTATAGAAAATACACACTTCATCTAAGTTGTATTATTAATGTGTAAGGAACCTACCATTATTGGGTCCCTGAAGAGCAAGAGAATAAGTTGGGCTGGATATGTGTGGAGGGAATGATTGGATGAATAACTAAATGGCAACCCGACACCAAGAGGCCTCGAGGACGCCCCAGACAAAGATGGGCGGATAGAGTACAAGTAGACTTGAAACTTCTGGGTAAGAAATGCAGAAGAAGGTGCAAATGATAGAGAGGAATGGAAACAATATGTTGTTGCGGCGATGGGCCTTAAAGGCCTATAAAAGCCCAGAAGAAGAAGAAGAAGAAGAACATATTAAATAGCAGTTAGGTATCCTCTGTATCAATAGGTATAATGGACAATATTTATTATGATAAAAACATTATGTAATAAATCCAGTATATTAGATTAAAAACAGATTTTATCATTATAAAATCTAATATTTATACATAGACCTTATACTAGTAGACGGACCATATAAGGACGGCGGGGTTGGGTAGTGCATCCTTGGAAATTTGCGTTATGGTTATATATTATATATTATATTATAGACAGTTATAATACACAGTTTATTGTATTATCTAGTGCGCATGCGACTTGTAATTCGCCGTCGGACCGTTTGTGACCGTCGGAACTACTTACATAGGTATACTCCGTCTACTAGTATAAGGTCAATGTATCTATATGGTATTGTGGTAACCGTGATCGTTTATATGATAGTAGGTAAGTATTTTAGTCTGTCATTAATTATGAAACATGGATGGTTAATCGACACATTGATAAAAAAAAAACTGGCAGAAAATTAATGGTATTCACTAGGTAGTTTACAATATTTATCAAGTTGCCATAATTTACTTAAAATAATTATATAATTAGATTATTTACTTTAATAGTCTTTTAGTCATTTTAGATTAAGTATATGTTTATGTACTGATAAATGCATATGTGTGAATGCGTTATTTTAAAAGTTGTACAATTTATTATGGTTTAGGGTTCAAAATATTTCATATTATATGTATTTTTCAAAAAACGATAAAAAAAAACTTAATTATTAACTATACTACAAAGGTTGGCAACGGATGTTCAGCCTGTAACCGTTTAATCTGTGACATTTTTTGGCCCTGATTGAAAGAGGGTGGCCATCCGTGTTTGGTTTTCTCATAAAAAAATAAATTTATTATTTTGTCATGCTTATTCTTGTAATCTAATCTAGCCTGTATACTTAACGACCAATGCCAATTGCCATACATAATTATAACGTATCTCGTATTAACTATCAAAACTAATAAAAAGTACCTACTGTAATACAATTAAATGAACTATTAATAACCTACATAACTTTTCATGTTTTAATGATTTCTTGTTGTTTTTTTAGATACAATCATTATCTATTGTCTATTTAAAACAACTTCGAATTTTAACTTCACTTAAATCCTTGTTCTGTAATTGATTCGTTTAAATATAATTTTTCATTAATAGCCTTTTCTTACATGAGAGTTTAAGTGTGTGCCTTCCAACCGTGTCTATTGGAATAAATATAAATGCATATATGGACATTTTCGGGTACCTTACAGTGAAAATATATGTATTTTATAACTTGCCTACTGTGATGTAACCATTATCTGCTGTAAACGTGGTAACGTGTTGTGTGGGTGATGACATGTATTGATGTGATGATGGTGAAGAATTTCCGGGCAAAAACTTATGGTGATGACTCCCAGGTAATGGAGAGCTGTGTTCTTGGTCAATAGTTAACGTGCTTGTACCATAACTGTCATTGCTTTCTAAGTCTAAACAAAGGAGGACAAATAATTTATAAATAATTTAATTTGAAATTTATTTTCTATAAATTTACCGTGTGAATGACTGAAGTTCGAATCAAGGTCAACCTTAAGGTCGTCTTTGTCGTTTCGAGGCGAAATTGAACCTTTCATTGTTCTGAAATATTGGCTCCAGCGTGATCTTCCAGCGTCTTTTTTAAGCCTTTTTTCTTTTGCACGTCTAAAATGTAGTAATAACAATTTGTCAAAATACAATATATGAAATTTAAAAAAATATTCATAAAAATATGTTCCGACATTTCTTTATTTTTAAAATTAATACTTAATTATGATTTTAATTTTATCAACTCAGTTTTTATCACTATTTTTTACAATAAAATTAAGCTATTACACGCATTGTTAAAAAAATAATCCGATAATTCTTTAGGCTTGCCTACTTATCTACCTACCTACTTATTGAAAATAAAAAAGATAACTGTACAAAAATAGGCTGTTAAATGCCTCTGCATGTAACATTATTCTGAAAAAAAGCAATGTTAAATATTTAGTTATAAAACTTTTAACTAGGTAGGTAGGCAGGTACCTTTCAACTTAAATATTAAACAAATATTACATTTCCAATAGTATGTCCATTATCCGTACTTGTTTTAAATGTTCATTTTACGGATTATAGAATACATCAAATGTTTTTACATTGTTAAAAGATATTCGGAAGGTAGGTACTTTTAAAAAATGTACAGTTTATTAAAGTTTAAATTATACTGTATCCTGTTAAGTTTATAACTGTTAATTAGTTAATAGATAGGTATGCTTGTAGCATGTTACTATGTTTTGTTCAATTAATTAAGCACATAATAAGATAATTGTAACAAACGAGTGCCGATACGATTTGATACATTCAGATAATGTCAATTTTTAAGTGAAAATAATTTAGAGCTAATAACTAGTGATGAGGAACCCGATGTCTTATTTCAGTTGTACCAATTAATAATAAATATTAAATTTATTTAGAATTGAAACTTGATAATAATATCTTCTTAGAAATGCTATACTTGATTGAAAAATTGCTTTCTTTCTAAAGTTAAAATTATAAGAATGGTTTGTTTTTAATTTTCAAGTAGTGAAGGCTTACGTTCTTCAATTTCTATTTTAGAAATTATTTTATTATAACACGTAGGTTTCTAACAACATATTTTAAATTTATAGGAGTAGAAATGTGAAATACAATAAGATATTAGAATATATGTATAATATATTATGTGTATATAAGAAGTTTTAAAATAAAATGATCATGAAATAATAATGTACCAATGTTTAATAAAATTAATCTTTTGGTATAAATGCAACAAACTGAAATAATATATTTTTGGTATCATTATTCATTATTCACCTGTTTTGAAACCAAACTTGGACTACCCTCATGTCTAATCCAGTATCTTGACTTAGTTGCTCTCTAACATGTCTAGCTGGTTTTGGACTGTTGTTATACGCCATTTTTAATGTCTCCAACTGCTTGGCTGTAATAGTTGTTCTTGGACGTTTATTTGGTTGATCGCCATCCAGGCATCCGCCCTCTAAACATATAATTTACTATTAAAGCTTATCAAACATAATGAATAAACCACACGTTTATGTTAAATATTTTGGAACATCTTAAAAATGCTAGAAATCGTATGAAGTTTAAACAGACCTTTGGTTTTCGCTGCTTCGTAATCAGGTTTGCACACTAATTTACGATCCTCCATAAGATAAAATTCATCACCAGTATTCAATGTACGACCACACATAACACATGCAAAACATTGTAAATGGTAGACGAGATCTTGTGCCCTCCGAACTATTTGCGTGGGCGGGATTCCCAAATCGCAACCGGCGCATTTTGTCCCGTACCTTCTGGCAAACACCAAAAATTAGTCTCTAACCAAATTTTTTTTAAATATTTCTTTTAAAAAAAATTGTATTTAGTAGTACAAGTTTTTATGAATAATAGGTGATGACTAGAGCCCGCCCGGAACTTGATGCATTTGCATCTTTTTTTCTAATGCTAACATTCGAGGCTTGTCTTCATAGAAATTTGACTACTATGTCGAGCAGAATCAATAGTACAAATTTAATTTTTAGTTTTTTCGGTATTTCTTGGTTGAAATATAATTTTTTTTATGAATTGTGTTGCAATTTATGCATTTTTAAACTTTTTGTGGGTTCTTATATTTACATTTTTGTGTAAATAATTTTTTTTAATAATTTTTCGATGGTATTGATGCATTTTAACTATTTTGATAAATAAAATAAAACATTTTAACTAATTTTTTTAGATAATTTTTAAACAGGTATTTATGTATTTTTTTCGTACTTTTTTTTCAAGGTTTTTAGGTAATCAAGTCCCGGGCTCTAAGCCCCTAATGATAACTGATAACTATTTTTCTCCTAAAAATTAGAGAAAACTTTATAATCATTATGATTATGATTTATTATTGTAAGCATCAGTTAATCCTTTCACTTTTAACGAAAAAAATGGATAGCAACTGTATTGTGCTGATCAGTTTTTGTAAATTGATTTAAAATGTTTAACCACTCTGCTTAATACTCACAGGATTAAAAAAAAAATCGAAAAAAAAAATTGAATCGTAGTTTGGTTGCAACTAACATAATAAATATAATTTTTTTTTTTAGTTAAGGCTTCGAGAACTGAGGTCAGTCTGGAGGTTATTTTTAGTCGGTTCTTACTGTGGGGAGGGTATGGTTAGTATATTGTAATTAATCAATGTTGTGAGAAATTATTATATTATACACTACTATAAGTTTCTTATCTATATAGGCACGTTATTTTTCAGGGATATAATATCCAACCAATTATATTTAATTCCTTTGTAATATTTTTCAAAATTTAGTAAATTTATAATATTCTACAATGCAACAGTCAAACAATCTTAACGAACTGAAAAATCAAAGGAAAATGTTCGCACTTCATTCAGTATGTGTGAAAAACATATTGACAATGGTCTATATGTGTAATAATATAAAATAAAGTTCGATTGTTTAATAATTAATTTCATTGTTGTGTAAATATTTCTCTTTTTAATACTTAGATACTTAAGTTATTTAATACTAATAATTGTATCACTTATGTAAACTGTACTCACTTAAAGAAGTCGTCTTTACAAAACAGCATACCGTTTCTAGCAAAACACTTGTCGGCTAGTGTAGCTCCACACTCGTTACACTTTAAACAGCGAGCGTGCCAAGTACGTTCCAATACTTTTAATATAAATCTGTCTAGTATTAATTCTTGACAGCCACCACACTTTGGTATACTAGCTGTAAAATAATAAAAATAAATAGATAACTTACGTTTACACACATTCTACAATCCACAAGTAATACACATTTAATATATTTGTAAATTAATAAAAAGTTGTATATATTATAAATAATGTCATGAACTTATAAATCATATACAATCATTTAGATTTTTGATGAATAGTTCTATACAATTAATTTTACTAACAAATAATGTTTTATTAAATTCTAGATTGAAATATATTTTATTGTTGACTAAAATATTGGACTTGTTCATAGGTGATGTCTCTATATGATACCTCATACTAGGGCTGGTGATATTTCAAATTTTGATACTGGTATCCGGTATTTGTTTATTACCGGTTATTCGGTATTTTCGGTAATTAAATACCGTACCTCGGAAAAATTGTTAGTGTTTCTAAGTTTCCAACCTAGGATAGGGCTATTATATTATGTCATTGCGATTATATAAAAATAATAAATAATACAGTATTTTCGGTAATTACCGTGGCATGGTATTTTCGGTATCAACGGGATATAACCGATTCAGGGTATACTGGTATTATAAAATACCGAAAATACCGGATATCCGGTTTTTGAAAACCTATAATCTCTAACCGGTATACCGAAAATACCACCAGCCCTCCCTCATACCTAACATTATTACATTTCAAATTATGTAAAATTTTCAGATGAATATATTCGGTATTTTTTATGTAATGCGCGCTACCACTTCAGCTAGCTATTTATAATTTAACTATTTAAGAAACCAGGGGAGTACCTTTGATGTTTAGTAGGTGTCTTTTTTATTCAGAATGTCTATGTTATATTTGAATTCAATGGTGGATTATGGCATGCGAAAACGACTGAGCGGAGAATGACACACCGTCTCCACTCAGAATCGATATTTTAGTATTTATTTATGTTTAATTATTACCTATTAGTACCTAACTAATTTATTTTTCTAATAGTATGCAGGTTGGATTAATTTTTTCAAAAAACCATAGAACATATTTAATAATAATTGTTATGTTAATATATCATATTAGGTAGGTTATTATTAACTTATACCTAAGTCAAGTCAATACCCAGGAGCGGACTGGCTAGTACTAGTTCCTTGTAGGAACTACTAAGTCGGGGCCCTTCATTAATAAGCACCAATTATATATAATACATTATTCTCAACTGTAATTTCTAAATTTGATAATATAGAATACTAGTTTATACTCATCATTTATTATGCCTTCGGAAAAATATGTCTTAGAAAATGTTAATGTTTAATGTCCTTAACACTCTCAAACATTCAACGTTATTTTATAAATTACTGTCTATAATTAATAAATTACTATAATTATTGTAGATCAGTGGGCTTTTATACATGTTCAGTACGCCTCCGTAAATACCTACGTACCTACTTTATAACGGCATAAATAGATCAATAGTATAAAATACATAGCTTATACAATTAGTCTAAATATTTTGAAATCATCATTGCTTATAGTTATTGCAGGTTACAAGTATTTCAAGTATTAGTATAAGGTTACTTGCAATTACAAGTATTTCTAAGAATAATAATTTTTGAATCACCTACATCCAATTGACTAAAACCGTTATTTTTTAAAAGTTTAAATTTGAACTTAAAATGTGTAAAAAAACCGGCGACTATGTTTTTTTCTATATTTCAAATATTGTTAAAAGTACAACTTATGAGGTATACTTACCTTTTATTATATTTTTAATCTTTTTTACAGAGCAAATTTGTTTTTACCAATATTTATAGAAAATAAAAGCTTTAATTATTAATATTTTAAAATTTCATTGTCTACTGGAAGTTATATATTTTAAGTAAAAGTGGAATCTTTCAAGTTTCTACCATCAATGTTTATTGTACCTATTAAAACAAAATATCAAACATCTATTGAGGAGAAACATATTTACATTTGCAAATTGTTTGAAACATGAGAAGGCATATTATTGCAAATGACGTAATTTTAATATTTTTGAATAAACATCATTTCAAAATGAATCGTAAAAGAAACATTAAAAAATTGTATTATTTGTACCTACTCTTAAAATTTAGCCACAGCGAAGAGATCTGATATTGAAAGAATTTCATCATACTATTTGAAACATTCTAGCTACATGAGAATAGTTCTACACAAAGAGGCAGCAGTCCCATCAAGAACTCCAAGCTTCGTCTGCTTACGAAAGAAAGAGCTAATTTATATGGATGGGCAGTAAACCATTAAACATAATTCAATGCATAAATAATTAAACTAAATTAATATATTGGATGGAAATAAATTATTTTGGTGGCCAAGAGTCTAAAGCCTTAAAATATAATATAATATACATAGTAATTATTCTTGACGGCCTTAGTTAGTAAAATAAAAATTATTAAAAACATTCTTAGAATAATTGATACAACTATTAAAAAACTGTATTGTAGTAAATAAAAGTCTAATAAGTTATTTTGCAGTTCAATTTGTTTAGCAATTTTAAAATGAATAACATAAATAATATGAATCATTTTCCCGATCAGAGTCCAAATTGTGGGGTACGAATGGTTTATTAATATGGTAAAATAGAGATCATAACATCGTTGATTATATCAGCTTTATTGTGACATCATGAACTTTCCAAACAGTGCGTGAGACAGTGTGTAGTAAAATTATATATTTAACATTTTATCAATTTTATAGCTGATAAAACATTGTAATATAATTGCGCCCAAATAATTCTAGGTAGGTTACATATTATACATAACCTGTCCCATGTTACATAGTTTTCCTTAAAGACATCATAATTTATTAAAATTTATAAAAATACTGAAAAACACGGTGTCCCACCTTGTATTCAGATGGTTAGTACGACACTTTTAACTTTCGATAAGAATGACATTTATTTTCATTAATACCGATGTACGTAGACAGATAAAGTTACTCATTACCCATATAAGCGCCAGAGGGCAACGTTAAATGTCAATAATAATCAACCCTTTTTACACACAGACGACAGACGGTGTTATAATTTTGTGTCCCCACAGGCCACAACAAATCTCATATTGCATTTATCATTTTTGGTATTTGCAGGTTTAAGTTTATTTAAAACATTTTACGAAAAATATCTTCATATATACCAAATTGAATTTTACAAGAAAACCCCATATAAAAATATTCTTTGCATGGATAATTTAAACTGCATTTTAAAATTCAAAACTTCAATCAACATTATGCATTATGTACCGAATTGATAAAATAGATTCGTGCAAATAATGTACCTACCAACTTATAAAATATCAATATTATAATAATATATTTATATGAATACGGTCACGAATTACGTTTAAAATCGATTCAACGCCCACACGGTCACACATAATAATTACCTATATAAACAGGCAAAGAAAATCATTACTTCATTAATTAAGTAAGTTAAAGTTCTTACCCGTCGGCCTTTGAAATAAAATAATACTTTTTTCTTGATCTATTTTATATTTAGTATTTATATTTAGCCACATACATGTAATTGCCTCAAGAATACTGTGTGTGATGCACGCATTAATAGATGCGTTAAAACAAATGATAAGTTATTTTAATTAAAATTGATAAGTACACAAACATTATGGATGTGAACATATGGTAATTAAAAATAAAATAACTAATTTTAAAGTTAATATTTTTAGTTATTAACTTTCAACTTCTTGAGTTAAATATGCAGTTATTTGTTAACTATATTAATTTATAATTATTTTACGTTAACATAACTCAAGTTAATATTTTCGATTAACTAGCCCGCCTTATTTGTTACATTGTAATACCTACTATAATTAATGACATAATAAAATATGTAGGTAAGTATATATACAACATCTAACTATATGCAATTACATACATACCTAAGAGTTTCACCGGTATATTGTTCAGATCCTGTTGAAAGAATCTCAAAAACGAGTTGGGCAGCCAATCAGCCGTGTCCGATTCCTCATTGCTCACGTGCAAAGACGAATCTATCATTTTCGGCCGTTAAGACAAACATACTACGAGTCATCGGAACATCGCGTGAAGTTGGCAGAAATAGGCAGTACGTATATTATAATCACGGCAGCGGGCAGTGGAAATAATATTATAATTGTGTTGTGAGGACGAACAAAATTACAGAGAGTAAAAACTACTGAAAACCGAAACTTTTTTCGGCAGATTGACAATATTATAGTAATAATAATAACGACGATGCCGACACAGACGACAACGACATCGACAAACGTCGCGTACAATGGATTCGTGAATACTGACGAAGTGCCGCCGCCGCCCCAACGAGAAAGACCGCCGGTTGTTGGGGGGCGGCAATCAAAAGAGAGGGTGCGCGTGTGCCTTTGTGTGAAAATATCGGTCGGGGGTGAGGGAGGAAAACCTGCGGCGGCGGTCGGGGGATCGATAAGCGCCGGCGACGGGGCCCGGCCAGGCGGCGAGCGCTCCCATTCGCGACTGCCGGCCACACCCAGTGACACACCGGAGGGCGACGGGCACCGCCCCGAACTTCCCCATAGACAGCCGACACGTAACCACCATCCCCGCTTCCACCGTCCCAGCGCGAAGAGTTTTCCCGTCGGGGCCTGGTAGCAGTGACAGGTAATCCGCGAAAAGTCTACAGAGGACAGGCGGGCAAGTGTATACGTACCTGCACCGCACCGCAAGAACGTAGAGTTGCGACTTGTAAGGCGATTTTAAGGAGTGTAAAAAAAAAAAAAGAAAAATGGAAAAAAAGGGGAAATGAAAAAACAAGAGGAACGCGATAGGATCGAGAAGTACGCGAGAGCTGTGCCACAGGAACGAGAGGGAACAAAATTATATCCACCCAAAGTCTGGTACACAGCGTAGGTATATATGTATTATATACCTACCTACGTACAAGCACGATAAACGGACTTATTCTGCTATAAAGCCGAAGGATAAAGCGCGTGTGCGAGGTAACGCTAACGTGTATACTGTAAGTATAAAGGTATAGCGAAAAAGCCGAAGTTCGGCGAGGGGGCTTTCGTTTTCCGCCTCACCACCCGTAGTACAGTCGTGGTGTGGAGGTGTACCTATACCAACACCATAATAATATAGTGATGCGTATAACACACCGCAGTCAGTCGTGGGTGACTGGGTTCCTATAATTTGACGTATAAACTTCACAGCCGTGACTGCTGAAATTCTATATATGACGTATGTACCTATGTTTAGGTGGGTAGGTTACTATGTGTATTGTGTATTCGCAAGCAAACCGAAAAGCCACTATAGTACAAAATTAAATTATTTTTATTATTATTATTTTCTATCGAAACGGTTTCCTGTCAATTATATTGTAATATAATAACATGATACATAACTGCAGTCAATATTTTGGTCTTATTTTTCAAAACAAACAATATATTATTAGCAAACATGGGACATTTAAAATTTTTTTTTTACTTACGTTTAAGAACATATTAATATCTTATAGGTACATGTTAAAATTACTAAATACCTAAACTTAAATATTGAATCTGTTTTTAAATTCTACTGATTTAATGTTTAATAATACCTATGTTTTTGATGGATATAATATCTGGTTAGGTAGGAATATAAATTGTATATAATTTTTTTTTTTTTTTAACTGGATAACCCGTGGCAACAGATCATTGGGTGTGGGGAGGGAACTGTGGAGTTTTTAGGTTGGGTAGGTTAGTACACGTGTGTGTTGTGTTTTGGCAGAATTTCTAGTGGGGCACCCGTAGGTTTCTGCCATGTCTGCTCCGGGTGAGGGATGGCGGCACTTGTTCTCCGGACACTGTGACTTGCCCGAAGAAAATTGCCGCCCGCGGCCGAGGTATTGAACCAGCGACGGCTGCGTGGCAGCAGACGCCTTAGTCCGCACGGCCAATCCACCCCCTGTATATAATATTTATATTTATATCCATAAAGTTACCTAATTGAAAATTATATATTGTTTATCATTTGCATTACATTAATTATTTGATTTCCATCCAACGTCCTCTTATCATTCAAATAAAAACTTAATTACATATAATATATATAAATATAAATTATAATTAACTGTTTCTTAAAATTGTTGTAAAAAATATAACCTATTTACCAATAGAATTAAAGATTGACAAACTTAAATTGATTAATAGTAATAAATGTTAAAACTTTTCTAGAACTTTGTGGGGAGTTTTAGCTTTTTAATACCTACTTGAAAGTACCTACCTAGCAATAAAAAAGATTATATTTATTGCTATATTTTCTTATAGGTAAATTTATTTATTTTAAACTTTTAAGCTGATACATTTTACTATAATTAAATTGCATATTAACGTATTATTTTATTTTATGTTAATTTTATTTTGTAGTCAAAGAAAAACAAACTGATGTTAAATGATATCATTGAAATATAAACTATATTAATAAAAAAAAATGTGGGTAAGTGGATGTCGCTCTGCTGTTCAGTAGGTTACAAGTGGGTCACTGTAATGGATGGTGTTAAATATGAATTCAATGATATAATATCACTGTATAAGAAAAACGATTCTGAGCGAAAACGGTCAGTCAGCCTACTATGTTATTGATGTGACTAAAGTAATTTATATAGGTATAACCTATTTACGTGGAACCTTGTTTTAAATTTTAAACCCTTAGCTATAAAAGTTTAACATTTTATAAATTTTTAACTACAAAATAATTATTTAATTTGTCAAAATTCGAAATTTAAATGCTTATAAAAAAAGATTATGTCTATGTATTTTCAATATTTTTCAACTGTTATTGTAACAACATATCAGGAGCCTTGCATTAAATTTTCACGCTTTTTTACCCAAGATATAAAATTTTATTGATATCTATAGAAAAAAAAATCTAAAAAAAATGTAAACTGACCATGTCCATAAACAGCTCAAAAAGAGACAAAATATTTTCAAAATTGTATATTGTATTTAAAATGAAAATATTAAGATTCCGTAAAATGTTCATGTATCTAGCTTTTCGTTTTTGAATAACAATAAAATAAAAAAACCACTACATGAGATATCGAGTGAATATCGAATATTGTAAAAATATGAATTTCAAACGATTTAATTTGATTTGCTTCTAGAATTTTTTTTTTGATAAAGATAGTCAAACTTATGAGAAATCTTGTATTACATTTTCAAATCTTAAATTTAAAAAGGAAAATTTTTATGAATTCTCAACTCAGAATAATTTGCTAATTTTAGTGATTTTTCCGTATTTTGTCAAGATTTGAACTTTAAATGCTTATAAATAAAAACTGTGACTAAGGATTTTTAATATTTTGCAAATGTTAGTTTAACAATATAGTAGGAGCCTTGTTTTAAATTTTCAAGCTTTTTTACCCAACAAATAAAGTTTTATTGACATTCATAGAAAAAAAGACTAATAAAATTGGAAACAGAAAAGCTTCCTAAACAGTTCAAAACAAATCAAAATATTTTGATATTATATGGTGTATAGAAAATTCAAATATAAACGACTAGTGAAAATTACATGTATATACCTTCATTTGTTTTAAATTACACAAAAAACTAAAATCGATTTGTAGAAAACTGATTTTGAGTACAAATTCCCGTTTTTCTTTAATTTTATGTTTTTTCGGCGCTTTCGAAAACTATTGGGAATTTTAAACTTTTACCTCCCCAAAGCACCAACAATATTCATTTTCCCATCGAACGAGATACTGAAGTTGAAAATCGAAGCATTATTTCGACTACTTATCGTGTACACACACACACAAAAAAAACACATCATTGTAAAATCAATACATTCACTCAGAATCTACGAGTAGATAGGACAAAATATAGATCATTTATAAATTATTTTATGACATGTGTTGTACGTTGTAACCAGGGCTTGAGACTTCTAGCATTTGCATATTTGTTTGTAGTTCTTTAAAATAATAAACTATCTATTCTGTTAAATACTTATAGGAATTAAATTTCAAAAGTTTTTAATGCAACACCGCTAGCCTTAAATTGTCCATAGATAAAAATACTCCAGTAATATGCCTTAATTTAAGTTGATATTGTATTTATTAATGTAATGTAACATTGTATCACGTATCCTAATTAATTATTATATGGATTCACCAAAAATACCTACAGGCTGAAGATCCTGAATGTATTGTGCAGCCTAATCTAAGAGTATAATGGATTAATTTAGTTTGGGTCGAATTGTGATTGTGAGTGGCGACAGTATGTACTTGCAGTGGCGTTACCAAGGGGAGGGAGCAGAAGAACCATGCCCCATCGGCCTTTTTTTTTTTTTTTTTTATTGATTTTATATCTGTACGTCTATACTTCATTAAACATATTTACCTTATATATTTTTTTCACTGTTCCCAATAGATAAAAATCAACATTTAAAATACTAGTTATTTAGCATTTGGTCCGGATACTTATTTATGTGTTTTATCGATAATTTTTTTGAAAATATTTTGATACCTAAGTTAATTGTGAAAAAAAGGTTCTATGCAATACAATAACACAACATTGAATGACTGAAAATAACTTATTATAATCATCTAACCTAAGGCCGTAAATATGTGACAAACACATATTATATCGATTTTATTATAAAATGAATCTTTTTATGTTTGAAATATTAATTATATTATTTGTTTCAATGTATATTAACTAACGACCATACTTCATCTGCAATTAGTTACATTTATGACATGGTAGAATAATGCATTTTAATAAAATTTATTTAGTATAATATATTTTTACTAAAAAACATTCAATCAATTATTAATTATTATATGTTAATGTTCGCCTAAGGGTTAATCATTAGTGATTTATCGAAAGATTATGTCGACTATAATGCGGAGTAGAAGTTAATTTTTTTTTAATTAACTCTTAAAAGCATTAAGAAAATGTATGTATTGGGTATCTAAGCTTTTTAGTTTACGGTTCCTTTAGTTAATTAATTTTTATGTAAGTAATTTCATAGTTAAAAACTTTTATAAATATTATAAAATTATCAAGATTAACCTGCCTAAAGATGCTAAAATATTATTTTCTTAATACTTATAACATAATTTGTTATAAACTATAATAACTTATGACAATTTACCTTAGGTATAACATACAATATGAAATATGTATGATATATTGATATTAATGTATATTATTCTGAAAAATATACTGGTATTAAAATTACTAATAATCATGTGGCATGTGGTAGGTATTTAAGAAAATAGAAACTTTTATTTAAATTTAAAAAACGTACGTAAATTATTTTATAACAGTAATGTAGTTACATCCCAAAAAAAAAATTATTATTTCAAGATAAATAACTTTTTTGTAATGTTAAATTATAAATTAGTGATAAAACTTCAGCGTAAAATTAAACCAGACTTACTCAGTATAAATAGTGAATAATGTATTTTGTATGTATACATAATCATAAATTTATTTTTTCTCCTCTAAACTCCACAAAATATTGTAAAAATATACAGAGTCAGAGTGTTAATACAATTTGATGTTATTCTTTTTAAGTTTTAAGCAATCATGAAATACCTAAAAACTTTTTAAATTTTGCTAATTTCATTATAATGATAATGTCATAAACGTACAATGTATGATAAA